TTGATAATTTTTCATGTGATTTATTTTTGAACAGTGTGGGTTTGGTTACTGCATTTGAAAGAGAGCAAAAATTTTGATAGGATGATGAACAATTTTTGGATTGCAAAAATATTGGCTGTTTTACGCTATTACCTGTTGGAGGACGTGTATGGTGTATAATCAAAGAGTAAATAGTTGGAGCAATTCTTTCATGCTAAATCAATGCGAGAAAGGGTGGATTAAGTGGCGTTTAGATGTTCACTTTCTTGTTTTTTCAAATATCACTTCTGGTTTATATGTATTTTAGCTTTTTATGTTGTTGCTTCTTAAGATTTCAGGAAATTTCGCTTTTTATGGAAATATTGAGCTATTTTGGGATAGCACGAGCTCGAGAAACGATATCTAATTTGTGCTAAATGCTGCTTGATATTCTGAAGTCTAAATTGAACTTTAACTTTCAGATTCATTTGGCATCTTGGCAATATCATTTGCTGCAATATAAACACCGAATACCTCACACAGAAGTAACTGCAGTTCAGCTGTGCCTTCACTTACTTTCCTTCAGTCGTTATTTGAGTCACGAATACTGTTTGTGTGGTTGCGATAACCATAAGAAGAAGAAGTGTTCTGCTATCTTGACCATAGAATCGGATCATTAGGCAACCCTCCCACAGCCAACATTAGAGTGTTTGCATTCTAGCACATCTGCATCAATTCGTAACTCGCAGCACACAATCAAACAGTCTAGAAATGGCCGATCAGCTGACAGAAGAACAAATAGCCGAATTCAAGGAAGCTTTCTCCCTCTTCGATAAAGTAAGTAACTTTGTTTTTGATGTCTTTTTCTTTTGCTTCATCCTGATTTTACAACGTTTTTTCCTGATTTCACTAAGGGTTGTCTTTTAATTTCTTACCTGTAATTATTTGGCTTACAAAGACTTCAAAACTAAGTTGTTGGTGTTATGGTTTTTTGCTGTTTATCAAAAAGAAGCGGACTAGCCTTAATCAGGTTTGGCAGCCATTAAAAGATGCTCTGGGATACGCGGAAATAAAATTATAGTTTACATATTTTTTAGTATCACGAGGAGTGTAAGCGCTATTTTTTTATTCATGGCTTTTCGTTCTCTGACTTTGTTCACTGGATTTCAGAACCAAGTTAAACTTATTTGGAATTCATTGATAGCGCTGCAATATATGATTGGGAAAAATTGACTTCATATCATTGTGATTTAGGACGGAGATGGAACCATCACAACGAAGGAGTTGGGAACCGTGATGAGATCCCTCGGCCAGAACCCGACAGAGGCCGAACTTCAGGACATGATCAACGAGGTGGACGCGGACGGAAACGGAACAATAGACTTCCCCGAGTTCCTCACCATGATGGCCAGGAAGATGAAAGACACCGACTCCGAAGAGGAAATCCGAGAGGCATTCCGAGTGTTCGACAAGGACGGCAACGGATTCATCTCGGCCGCCGAACTGCGACACGTTATGACTAACCTAGGTGAGAAGCTGACGGACGAAGAGGTGGACGAGATGATCCGGGAAGCGGACATTGACGGAGACGGACAGATCAACTACGAGGAGTTCGTGTCTATGATGACGTCAAAGTAAACGAGACGACTGATGACTGCAACTGACGACACTCTTACGTCATTATCGATTGCACAATCATAATGACGTGACTGGGGCTTTGAATTGCGTCATACGAATCCAGAAAAACTACTAGAAAAAATTGTTGAAATCTACCCAATCATGTCACGAATCATGTTTGCATTTATTTAATACTAAGAAACCTAATTAAGGACACTAGTTAACAGCTACATTTTGATGCTTTTTTGTAATTACAGTTGATCGATGTTTATTTCGCCACTTGGTTTTAGTAAAAGTCAAGGTCAAATGCTTCATGCATGAGTGTTGCCCTGACTTTTCCCTAATGCCGAACGAAACGAAGATGCACAATTCAAAACACCAATAGGCGCATTTCATATTTTTACGCTTTCATTTCTGGGACGTTTCGGATCAAAAGAAGTTTGAAGTGCCAATTATTCAATGGCCCTAGCCTTTGCAGTGTTTATTTTTATCATCTTTCGATGCAAAATTTTGAATTGAAATTGTCCAATAGTTCAACAAGCTAAATGGTACAAACGAAAACATAAGCTATCTTTCATTGTTAGATTAGTTTTTTTTATCATTGGCTTGTTTTTTGAGTGCAGTTCAACTAAGTTGTTTTGTATTGCCATTTGATTGTGATAACGAGGATGGAGCTTCTGTATTTCATTTAACATTCCATTCCATTCAACATATTTGACTGTGATCGCACTAACTGAATACTGAAGTTATGTTTGCTGCTGTTTACCTGCCAAAAAACTAACAAATTGATCTCGCTAGCAAACCCACAGAATCGAGTTTGCTCTAGAAAAAGCAAAGGAGTCAAAAAATAAGGAAGCGATTTTTTTATTTCTTGCTCTAACGTAGCAAGTGCTATTTATTTTTAATTTATTAAGTAATTAAACTAAATATTTATTGCAAATTTAGGCATTGAAATAGCGTCCTCTCTTCGATTTATCTATTTAATTTCTGAAGTATAACTACTTGATATAACGGCCCTAGATAACTCTTTCTTCGTCGTGTACAAATTCAATGGCTTGTTCAGATGGAAGTTCTCGTTTCATTGACCGTGCAATATCTTTATGAACTTAATTTATTCGGAAAACCTTGTTTTGTTACTCAGCAGATCCATCAAACGAAAAGTGCAGCATTTGTTTTATAGAACCATAGTGAGAAATACATGCTTCTGACCTGCTCTTAATTGTCAATGACCGAAGTCGCGTTTCTCTTTTTTTTCCAGGAAGTCTTGAAATACGTTCACTCTGATCTTTCTACTTGGGCACTTGAAGTTTTAATGGGTTTCGGGGCTCACTCGAAATTATTTTCTTGCTGAGATTATATTACGCTCTGCAACCACGATTAAAATCTAATAAATGTTTTTGACCAAGTTTGCAAGATCGACGAAACTCAATTTGTGAAGTCTCCCGAAACACAAAATAGTTAATGCAGCATAAAATCGGCGCCGTTTTATTTTTTTTTGGAAAAGTAGGTTTTGAATGATTTCTTCCACGGGGGAATGGAAATATTACAGCTTGTACTGAAAACACTTTTCACTGTCCTTTGACCTATGTAAAATTGAGCGATTTTATGAGAAATAATTTTCATTTTTTGTCAGATGACACTAGTTTTGAGTCGCCTGAAAACTGGATACAATGAAAGTTCGTCAAATAAAAAAACTGGGAGCATTGTAATAGAACAGAAAATAAATAGCATGCTTCCAAATCGTTTAGTTTTCGAGATGTGGGTTTTTTCAAATGTTTTTAGAATTTTCTATAATCAAGCAAGCTTGCGAGCGTTGTGGTATACGGTTATTTAGTGGGAGAGACACGCGTATCTCAATTTCCGTCATGGCTGGAGGAGTCCCAGTGTCATCCGCATCCTCAAGGTGGGACTGACTCTGGAAAAATGGATGACACCCCCATTCCCCGCGGTTGTTCCTGCATTGAGAAAGACCTGGAGTTAGAAAAATAGACAGTCCCTAAACACTAGGCCACAAGATTGTTCCTTGAGGGACACCTTCTTTCATTCGTCACTATTCGTTTCCGAGTTCAACATAAGTTGGCCTACCTTGTAATTTGATGTTATCCATCTTTTTGTGCTGTTTGAAACACGAATTTTCAAGATTGTGCAGCTGCACAACTTTGTCTACGGTGTCAAAAACTGCACTACGATTTCAGGCAACTGAGTGTCGTGTGCGAAGGACGAGGAGGATTTGGTCCGGTTCTTATGTCAGTGGCTATCCCGTGTAAGGTAGTGTTTGTTGATACGTTTGTTAGAAATCCGTGCTGGTGAGCTGCTCGAGGAACGTGGTTGAAGTCATCCGGTAAGATTCTTTTAATAAGTTTCGCTACCGCGAATAAGAGGGCATGGGTGGGTAGATTCTTTGCTTTATCTTTGCTTTTACCCGATTTCAGTTAAGGGAAGAGTCGACCAACTTTCCAGTTTTGGGAATGATTGAGGTGTTGAGAGTGAGTGATATTAGCTCACTAAGGAATTGGATACCTTTCTCTCCGAGATATTGAAGATGAATAGGGGCGATGTTATCGGGCCCTAAACCTTTGCTTTTCTTGCTCAGTTTAATTTGTTTGTAACGACGTGTAGGATATTTATAGTGGACTCATGGCGTATTTCTTCTGCGGAGCGTGCTGCATTTCTCTTGTTGGGAGGGGCGGGTGAGGACGGTAATGCCGATTAACGAGATTGCCTTTCTTTCTCGAATGAAAAATTAGATTAGTGTTAAATTTACGGGGTTGGTTTCGAGTTGTCAGCTGATTTGCCAGCTAAAGAGTTGACCGTTTTCCATAGTTTGGGGCGATCTCCTCTGTGCGCGAGGGTATTCACGAAATCAATCCATGTATCGCGTTTGTGTTTATTCGTATTGGAATCGGTTCCTTTGTTCAACTGGGAATTTTAAGGTCATCAGGATTGTTTGATTAAAGTTGGTCTGTAGGCTTGAAATGCTCTCCAGCTTGTTTTGGAAAGTGTAGTCTGAATTCTTTGCGGTTAGGTGTAATGTACCATTTGGCTGCCTTCATGAAAATTTGCGGAATGTAGCTTCATCTTTAGGCTGTGTATGGGTGATCTGCATTTGCCCAAAGATAACTCAGTAGATTCAAGAAGTCCTTTACTATCTGCTTTCCTCAAGTTAATGAAAGCTCTTTTCGCTGGTCCAACTAGGTCGATATCACGAATTAGTGTTAGCACTCTTGTTTGTTAATCAGAGCCGAGGCAAGATTTTGTTGCCCAGCTAAATTTTTTTGCCATTAAGTTTTAGGTGAGGTAAACTTTCACAGTTGGAGGTTTCTCTAGTAGAGACAATCTCATTTCAGATCCTCTTTAAAGATTGTGGTCTGAGTCATCTATTCCTTTGGCAAACGTAATCCTCTTGTATACTCCTCAAGTTCAGAAAACGAGAGAGGGTTGTGAACATTAAAATCACCGCTGAATACAAGAGAATTCTCAAAATCGAGTAGTTGATTTATGGATACGGTGTAACCAGATTCGCAGCTTGATTGTGGTGGGATGTATACATTAATCAGATTTATGATTGTCTGTCGATTTTACTTTTATTTTGCAGTTTTCTATATGTCAGTCTTGTGGGTTCGTGAACATTTTAAGGTCTTCATGCTTAACGCTGTTTTTGATTCGGAAAGCCAAATCTCCACCTTAACATTTTTCCGGTTACGATTCTTAGTTATCATTGAATAGCCAGGAGGCATTCCCTTGATTTCACGTGCTTGATTTTTTGGTTTGCTTGGTTCGGGTTAGTAATTTTGATACTGACGGTAAGAGCAGTTCGGACAGTAGTAAATGCGGACTATTCTGCAGTGTTACGTAGTAAGTTGAAAGAGAGTTGTACAATTCTGCCGAAAGGGCACTAGACGCTTTTGTGAGCTCTTGCTTCTTATATCACACATAGGGCTGATGTATAGCGGTCCTGGATTTGGTTCTATGCTGGCTTTGGTAAGAAGGAAAAGCTCTTCTCTATTTTCTAACCCCCTCGTAAAATTACAATTAAATTTTTCAAAATTAAATCACACGGTTTTTTTTGTATCTACGAAATTTTCACACTGGCACGTTTTAATACAGCTAATAGCATGAAAAATCGAAAAGACTTTAATTTTATGAATTTCAGAAAACTCCAAAGGTGGGGACTGGAAAAGAGCCGGAAGATGTTATTGATTGATCAAATTGGAGAACGTAGTTGGTCGATTACTTCGTTCAAGCATAAAAACACGAATTGGGCAACGGTTTTCATTTTGCAGAAGGTTTGAATTTTGGTCATCATAGAGCAACCTCAAAACTCTAAGGTTTTTGTAGGCTTCATGGCTTTCACCTCGATTTGTTTCTGGTGAATTGCCGATGTCTTTTTCTAAAGTTTCCAATATAATAGGAATTTTTCTCTGGTGCTAAAATTTTTGATTTCGTAAAGATTGTATCTACTAAACTACTCTCATTCTATAATCCACGTGCCTTTTAGTTCTGAATTTTTCGTGAGTTCCAAGTGATGCGAGCACACATTCGTTAATAATTCCAAGAATTAGTTTTTTCTCCACAGGGTGACCGAAATTGCTGGACATTTCCATCTGTGCTTTCGTCAACGAACAGACAAATTTTGAGCATGTCTGCATTTTCATTGGCCGTTCATTTCAAATGATGTTTTTATGTTGGTTGTAAATTACCAACTCAGTTTTTCAGATCATCAGAATTTTTCTACTTGTGTTGTAACTCTAGTGGCGAGGCTTTGATTCGCCCGTGTGTTCAATTTTTGAAACTTCAATTTTCATTTGAAAATTCAAATACCACCTTCTCGAAGAGTTTTTTATCCCAACATAAAGATCGTTTTTGGTTCTTTCGAAAACCTACTGAGCAGCTAGATCTCTGGGTTTAGTTCGAACATGGAATAAAATAAGGTCGCTAAAATGGCGCGAATAACATTAAAGCGAAAAAATCCATGTCGATTACAGCACATTTGATCGGACAAAATTGAAAATTTCTACGTCTTTTTCCTATTAAATGGAAAAGAAAATTTTTCAAGCCATTTTCTCAAAAATTCATGTTTTTGAGAATATGGCCTTGCAAAAATGTTCGTTTTTTAAGTATAATAATTAGATATTATTAGTTCCGTGAGATCAAATGTGGTGTAATTGAATTGGACTTTTTCGCGTTTATTGTTATTCTCGCCGTTTTAAGGACTTATTTTTATTCAGATGTTCTAAGTAATCCCATTCAAGTTTTTAATCAATCTAAAATCAATTTTGAAACATCTTTCCATTGATGGATGTTTTCGGTGTCGAGAAAAACTGGTTTGTAATTTTTGATTTTTCGCTATAGTTTTTAGCGAGTGAAGCGACCTAGAATGTGTAATAATTAGAAAAGCTTTTATGAAAGCTGTGGAAAAGTTTTAATCCAGAAAAACAAGTTTTCGTAGCTTCTTCTAGTAGTTCCTTGGCAATAAAATGTTTTGTTATTAAAGATTATTTTTGTATTTTTTTTGAAGGCAACAGTCGTTTATGAATAATTTACTAGCGTTCTAAGTCTTCGTTTTTTCTTTCCTCGTACCTCGCGCAAAAATGACATAAATTTCAAGGAAAAAGGAATAAATTGAAATTTTTTTTGGTTAAGTGTTTTTTTCTTCGATATTTCAGCTTGCATTCAGTGTTTATTTCCTTATTAACGAAATAAGCAACCCAATAGTGGGATGCTGTCAAGGTTTCCCCCAGGGGTTGCGATTTTGGTCTCCAATTATGAATTTTGTTCACGAGTTAAGATGATTTTTTTTTATTATATCAAGTTTTCAGAAAACTTAAATTAAAAAAGTTACTAAGTTTGAAGTTCCCAACCCTGTAGTTGTGTAATTGTAAGGGAACTCTCAAGAGTTGCAAATGTTGTGTCCAAATGCGACTGCTCAAATGCTTTAAGTTTTCGAGATGTGACGTGTTTTTGTCTTTTATACACATTTCAAAGAACTTGAATTTAAAAAATTTTTCGAATTTTCTATTTCTAAAGTGAGGTACTGTCGTGTTAAACTCAAAGATTGCGAATTTTTCCTCTTCGAGATATGATTTTTTGAAATGATTTCTTAAATTTTTTTCTGAAACCTTGGGTAATTCAATGTTCTCAATTATTTTTGTTTCTGAAAACTAAAAAAAAGTCATACAAACTTTCTGTTCATATTCAAAAATAATTGAATTTCTTAACCCTGTCAAAAATAGTTGAATTTCTTAACCCTGTACCAACCATTAACAAAATCGCCAGCTCCGTGTAAGCATCATAAACGCTTGTTAAGATGAACTTGAACAATTTTTTTAGAAGCTAACGATTCTGACCCTTTAAACGATGCCAATCACTCAAGTGGGTTCATAAAATCTTTTTTTATAAATGTCCACACCAACAGAGTACAGAAAACCATAGACAAACCCCCCCCCCGCCCAAAATTCTCCCCAGAAGACCGACAGAAATTTAAAAACATAACAGACCCTCCCAGGCTCGACTAAGCGCACCCTCGTCCAAATAAGATCAGGAAACAGTCCCTGCCTAAATATTTATTTGAATAGGAGAGATCCAAATTTTCCGAAAAACTGTTCCTACTGCGCTGCTGCTCACACAGCACTACATATGTTTAACTGTACCCAAAAGAGGACCAACACGACCCCAATAGACTTGTGGCTTTGGCCGACTGAGGTCGCAACGTTCCTTGAAATCGGCAGAGCCTGCCGGACGCGCCCCAAACAACAGGCCAATAACAACAACAATTATATAGGCCGTTTTTAGTCAGGAAACAGTTCTCAAAGTTGTTCACGCTCTATTTTATTGCAGTTTGATTTTTGGTTTGTTCAATTCAAAATCATTAGCTAATGGAAGGAAAATTACTTTCTCCGATTATGAAATAGCAAATGGCCCGAATAAACGTTAATGAATTCTAGTTTCGAAAGAGATAATTTTGATATTTACAGCGTTATGAAATACACCGATTGATCAGTTTTCTCAATTTGGGTCTAAGTTATAGAAAAAAAGTGTCTGTAAAAAACGTTATGAAATTTAAAGAGCTTTAACGTCATATATTTCCCCCCAAAATTCGAAAGTGGAAAATTGTTATTAATTTTCTCGTCTTTTTTTCAGAATGGGTTTGGACAAGTGGAGCTGTAGTGGTTGTGTGGCTCTAGGAGTGGCTGCAAGACTGGCTCTTTTCCAGCTGAAAAGTTTGCTGTCCTATCTGATGACCAGAGTTGAGCTCCAGACACCTGCCTCCTCGTGGGAATCGATGGAGGAGGGAACCTTCCTCTACCAGAGGGGGATCTCACCATACCAGGGATCCCTATTTCACAACCAACCGCTTCTGCTGAAGTTTTTCGTGCAACTGCAGACTATAAGTAGTGTCGTAAATATAGACTTACCCTTCGTGTTTATTCTAATATGCGATGTTCTGACAGGGTACTCGTTGTTCAAATGTTGCGAGAGTTTTCTCGAATCGCGAATGGAGGAGGAAAAACAGCTGGCCAACACAGAGTATGACAAAGACGCTTACAAATGCTTCTCGGCGAACAGGCGAACCCCGGAAGCCAGTGCGAAAATTGTTACCTTGGCCTATCTTTTGAACCCCTTTACAATCATTTCATGTGCTTGCAAAACGACTTTGCCAATTGAGCATATGCTTTACGCTAGACTTATTCTTTTCTGCTTGCGAAAGAATCTGTATGGAGCCAGTGTGATTCTAAGTCTGGCAACTTATCTCTTTATGTGGCCTCTTTTGCTGTGGGTTCCTGTTTCCTACTTGTTTTCGGAGACACCCAGGTCCAACGATGGTCAACTAAAAAAGCAGTGTTCTGTGACGTCATTGATCAATGGATCGGTTGTTTTTTGCATTTTGGCAGCCATGACTGCATTTCTAATGGTGGCTTCTTACTACAGTTGTAACGAGTCTACTGACTTTTTCTTCTCGACCTGGGGCTTCCAATTCATCATTCCAGATCTGCAACCTAATGTGGGACTGCATTGGTACTTCTACATGGAAATGTTTGACCAATACCGAACCTTCTTCACCCTCATGATCAACTCAATCACCCTTCTCATTTGCATTCCTCTTTGCTGGAAGTTTGCTGATAATCGAATCGCTCCTGTTTACAGTGCAATGTACTTTATAGCAATATATAAGTCCTATCCTACTTTTGGAGATGTCTCTCTTTGTCTCGCTTTGGTTCCTATGATAGCCCAGAACTTCTCCCTCATGCGTAATTTGCTCTTCACCTTCTTGCTGTTCCTCGCTTGTCTGGCTAGTATGCCAGCTATGTATCACGTGTGGGTGGTGACCTTTAACCCCAATTTTTTCTACGCCATTTCGCTCATTTACGGCACTGTGCAGATGCTGATTTGGTCTGATGTCATTTTTTCGATGAACAGACGTGAATTCCTCTACAGAAATGGACTCAAGTATCCATTAGACGAAGATGGAAATTTGAAGAAATTCACTCTTATGTGAAAACCAAACAATTGTCAAACTGATGAAAAAAATTTGATGGCCACAAAAAGTGATAAACATCTGATAGGTTTCTTTAGTCAAAAGAATTTGCCAAAACAAAACAGTAAAAAAAATTGACAGTTTTAATTAGATGATTCAGAATAAATTAAATTTTGGAATTAACTATCCGCCCTTGCAAAAAGGGGGAGAGATTCGTTACTAGATCCAAAATGCGCATTTGATTACCCGTTGAATTATTTCATTATAGGGATGGCCGAAGTACCAAAGGGGGAAGAAATTGTTAAAGAAATACAAAATTTGTTTGTTAGTCATGAAAATTTTATTGAATTAGAAATAGTTCCTTGGCAACCCTGTCTTAAACTATGGAACGTTCGTAGACTTTCAAAGAAGCCAAATAAGATGAAACTATGATTTAAATGACTGTTGCTTACTTTGTTACATATTGATTTCTGTTGAACAGACATAAGCTTATTTGATTTCCAACTAAATTGCATTCATCTAAGAAGCTCAATTAAAAAAATCATGGAATTTTTTTTTCAACCCTGAAAAAGAATGAGTCAGATAACAAAAAATCAGAAGATCATATTTGCCGAAAAAATCTCAAAAGAACAGCTTTGTGCGCTTTTCGAGATTCAAAGTCAACCTTTGAGTTATTTCTTACCACTAACAAGGAGTGACAGTTGCCTTTAAAAATTAAAGCTTACTATCAAAAGTTTTTTTTACGCTTGCGATTAGCAAGCGTTATCAAACCGGAACTTCGACTTTTTTTCGGGTGAACACCTTGTTAAACAGAATCACTTTAATCACTTGGTACCTTGGTTCATAATGAATTCAAATTTCTAAGTGTCTTCGCCACTTTTAGTCTGGAGGTAACTCATACGCCTGGTCCGGAAAAGGGTCTGAGTCTGAGCAGGACCTTTTTTTTAAACGGGAAGTTTTTTGTTTCAGAAAAAAATAATCGGGTTATCATTTGTCTGCCTATGTTTTGTCGTCTTAGTTGTTACATCTTGGAATCGTTTTTTTATGCGCGCCTTTTTCTTTAATGTTGCTTTTAGTGTTTGTTATACTGATTTACTCGTACAATTTACTTGCCTTGACTTCGTATTTTCTTCTTCGTTTTTTTTGTTTAGCTAAAAAAAATTCATCGGCCCATTTTTTTTATCGACTTTATGACCTAATTTCGGGTTGTTTCAAGGCAAGCAAAAATTTAACACTCCGCTTAGCACCTCTGAATTTGGTTGTTCATTTATCAATCGGTTTGTTGAAATTTCTTTTTTTTTCATTACGGTATCAATTGAAAATTTAATTGAAATAGAAAATTTTATTGAAATAGAAATACTTCCTTGGCAACCCTGTCTTAAACTATGGGACGTTCGTTGACTTTCAAAGTAGCCAAATAAAATGAAACTATGATTTAATTGACTGTTGCTTACTTTGTTACATATTGATATCTGTTGAACAGACATAAGCTTATTTGATTTCCATTTAAATTGCATTTATCTAAGAAGCTCAATTAAAAAATCATGGAATTTTTTTTCAACCCTGAAAAAGAATGAGTCAGCTAACAAAAAATCAGAAGATCATATTTGCCGAAAAAATTTCAAATGAACAGCTTTGTGCGCTTCACGAGATTCAAAGTCAACTTTTGAGTTATTTCTTACCACTAACAAGGAGTGACAGTTGCCTTGCAACTCGCACAGAATGGTCCGATCAAAATAATTCAAAAATTAAAGCTTACTCACAAAAGTTTTTTTTACGCTTGCGATTAGCAAGCGTTATCAAACCGGAACTCAGACTTTTTTTCGGGTGAACAACTTGTTAAACAGAATCACTTTAATCACTTGGTACCTCGGTTCATAATGAATTCAATTTTCTAAGCGTCTCCACCACACTTAGTCTGGAGGTAACTCATACGCCTGGTACGGAAAAGGGTCTGAGTCTGAGCGGGATCTTTTTTTTTTCAAACGGGAAATTTTCGGTTTCAGAAAAAAATAATCGTGTTATCATTTGTCTGCTTATGTTTTGTCGTCTTAGTTGTTACATCTTGGAATCATTTTTTTTGATGCGCGCCTTTTTCTTTAATGTTGCTTTTAGTGTTTGTTGTACTAATTTACTCGTTCAATTTGTAATTTTACCTGCCTTGACTTCGTATTTTCTTCTTCGTTTTTTTTGTTTAGCTAAAAAAGTTCATCGGCCCAAATTTTTTTTGACTTAATGACCTTTTTTTTGTTACGGCATCAATTGAAAAGCCGCTTACTCCCTTGTGTACTCCCCTATAGTATATTTTCATTCAACCCCTATGTCTTCTGCCTTCGAAAATGTCTGTGGGGGAATATTTGACCCATATATTTAATTTTTTGTTTTCTTAAAAATGACCCCTCTCAAATCTGGGTTTTTGGTTTCATTGAAAACAATGATTTTAAAAAACTCCCTGCATAAACCGCTACAGTACAATTTTTTATCAACATACATTTATGGCCCTCGATATAGTCAAATTTTTGTTTTTGGATCGTTTTGTGGATCTTTTGACTTTTCTCGAAAACTAGCCTCTTAAATCTGATATTGTGGGTTCAATGGAGATAATTGGTAGTGGTAAGCTCGAATATTTTAGCGGCCACGTACAAAGTTTTCTAAAAAAAGTTATTGCCCTCGGAAAAGTCAAATTTTTTGGTCGTTTTTAAACTACTAATGCCATATCAGAGATTTTATGTTCATTCATAAATTCATGATTTGTGGGAAGCTCATTTGCTTGAGCAAATACGCCCAAATTTTTCTGACACCAAAATTTATGGCCCTCGGACAAGTCTAAGGTTTTAGGTTCAATCGAAGTTACAGGTTCCGTGAATCCCTTCTGCATAATCGGCTACGACCAATTTTTCTACGCAAAAAGCTATGATTCTCGGAAATGTCAAATTTTTGAATTGTTGATATTTTTTGGACTTTCTCGCTAAGTATCCTACCGAATCTGATATCATAGGTTTAATGAAAGCAAGTTTGTTGAAAGCCTATATTTATAATTGGCTATGCCCAGTTTGTTTAATAAAAGTTATGGCCTTCAAAGAAGTCACGCGAAACTTTTTGACTTCACGCAAAAACTACCGTGCCCATTCTCAGAATGTGTTCAATGGAGAAACTCGGTTTTACGAATCTTCTCTGCTTAAGCGGCCACAACCTGCTTTTTGCAGAAACAATATATGAATTTAGGAAAGTATTTTTCGAACTTATGACCGTTTTTTTTTTAGAAATTTTGTAAATTTTCTTAAATTTTACTCAATCAAATCTGAGATGAAAACTTCAACTTGAATGCCGTAGGAGATGAAAGTTTATAGTTTTTCCAGTCTTATTTTTCAGGTCACTGAAAGTGGGGAGGAACTTTGTCTTTGTTTTTTTTACTTAAAACGTTTTTTTTTTCTACGCAAAATCAAGTACCGCTACTAATTATCGGATGAGGTCGAGTTTTTTTTTATCATATTTAAGCCCTCTAAGGCGTGATTTGAACGGTATAAAAATTTTTTGAAAAGGTTGTCACAGTGTAGAGAAAAACCGAATGTTTGTGGCATATAATAGTCCAATTCATTAGCCAAGTCGGGAAGTTTAGTTTTAGGCCAGTAAAATCAATTTTGAAGTTTCTTTTACCGCCTTCTTTAGATTTTTTTCTTCACATTCAAATTGTTTTGATTTTTTTTTTATTTTCCTGTCGATTTTTTGAGGAAACCTGTTGTTGAATCTACCTAATTTTGTATTAATATCGAATAATTTCTAGATCTCATCCCAACGAAACCAGAAAAACAACGACGGTGTGATAAAAAGATCTGAACGAAAAACCAGAAATTACGCAAATTTGAAAGGCATAGTAAAATAAGCTGATTTGACAACAGTTTTTTGAAAGAAAAATGACTGGAAAAACAAAAATAAAAAAAATTCATTTTATTTGCAGAAATTTTTTTGAATTTTTGAGCTTGTTGATTCCCAAAATGGCATCAAAATGACTCCAAAAATAGTTTTACTAAGTTCTTGCAGCTTAAATTAAGCATAAATAAGCTATTGTAAGCCTGCTCACTCGCTTTAATTGCTCGACATAAGACGAAAAATCAAAAATTGTTAAACGGTTTTTCTCGACTCTAGAAATTTTTTTTGGAAACTTTAAATTAGTTTAAATCACCACTGAAAGGGCTTTAATATAGTATATCACTCAACCCTTCCAATTATTTTTTGTGGGAGCTGATTTTGAGTGGAAAACAAAAATAAATAAATAAACTGAAACACACCCGAATACCAAGTTCCTCCCCATTTTCAATGGCCGGAACTACAACACAAGTTTAAAAAAAATCAGGTTTGTCCTCGGAACTTAGTGCTACTTGCACAGCAACCGGCTAACCTTGTTTATTTTTGATTTCTTGCATTTTAAAGACCCAGTTTGCAATTTCTTCCATCTGTTTGGAAAGTACAGCTTCGCCTCTGTGTTGAAGTTAGAACTACTGTTAAATAACCACCTGTTTCATTTTCTTCAAATAAAAACGAATGACGCAAAACAAGTCGGATTATTTTCCTTGCAAAATGTATAATAGAAAATTTATGACTTTATAAAATTAAAAGAAGAGACTGCTACTTGAGAAGTTGATGAAAGTTTTGTTAATCCCTCTAATAGGTAAAACCGCCTCAATGCTGAGATTTTATGCAGTAAGAACTAACTACTCATTTTGCTCATCGGAGACAAAAATTATTTTGTATTGTTGTGAAGCAAGTTTTCATTCTTGAATATTGCAGTAATGGTTGTTAGTTCAGCAAAATATTATTTGATAAGTTTCAATTCGTTTTTCTCCTTTTTTTACGATACCTTCGAGTCAACAATGTGAAGAGATAAGTCGTCGAATTTTTAACAAAAAAAAACATTTTTTTTGGTCTTAAATTAATTTGTTTTTGATTGTGGTTTAAGGTTTGAATTATTTGCTGTGAAACTTCTGTTGGCTAGTTGTTGGGCCCGTTTTTAATCAAAGCTTTATTGGAAATCCTCACATGTACTTCTCTCTTAATGTTTCCGTGGAAGCAACTTTTCGCGTGCAGACTTTGAAAATCAAAAATTTTGCCGCATTTAGGTACTAAAAGTCACTATGTTTTTAGTATTTTAAATATTTCAATGGATTTTTTTTTCTTCAAATTTTAATGGTTTTATTTATCTAAGCATCTTTTAAAGCAAAATAGTAGTATAATTTCTGAATATTTTTTTTATGTTCAAAACTTCACTTAATTTTAGTACTTTTTTGTAAATCAATGGAGCTTATAACGCAAGATAGGTGATATTAATTCTCTTCATGAGATAAAAACTCAACACAAACCGACTTCCACCCCCTTTAGAATATTGACATATCCAAATGAGGGGGAAGGGGTCTGAATGGACCGCGCCGGAATTTCATACCATAAAGTGTATGCTCAAAGATTAAGAAAAATATGTCATTTTTGAGATCTCCAAATCAAAACTGTTCTTTCATTGCAAAACAAATTTTCGTCTGGATTAAAATACTTTTTTTGGCAATTTTAAGGTTCAAGAAAATTTTAAGCTCTGTTTTAACATAATATTTATGAGAAGAATTGATTCAAAGTTGCGGGAGCACCCTGATAATTTTGAACCCTCCGCAATGAAAAACGTTTTTTTTTTCTTCAAAAAATGTCTCCCCTCCCCATGTAATTTTCGATCCCCCCCGCGCGAATTCCGTACTGCGTTATGGCGCTCGGACAAGTCTAAGGTTTTAGGTTCAATCGAAGTTACAGGTTCCGTGAATCCCTTCTGCATAATCGGCTACGACCAATTTTTCTACGCAAAAAGCTATGATTCTCGGAAATGTCAAATTTTTGAATTGTTGATATTTTTTGGACTTTCTCGCTAAGTATCCTACCGAATCTGATATCATAGGTTTAATGGAAGCAAGTTTGTTGAAAGTCTATAATTATAATTGGCTATGCCCAGTTTGTTTAATAAAAGTTATGGCCTTCAAAGAAGTCACGCGAAACTTTTTGACTTCACGCGAAAACTACCGTGCCCATTCTCAGAATGTGTTCAATGGAGAAACTCGGTTTTACGAATCTTCTCTGCTTAAGCGGCCACAACCTGCTTTTTGCAGAAACAATTTATGAATTTAGGAAAGTATTTTTAGAACTTATGACCGTTTTTTTTTTAAGAAATTTTGTAAATTTTCTTAAATTTTACTCAATCAAATCTGAGATGAAAACTTCAACTTGAATGCCGTAGGAGATGAAAGTTTATAGTTTTTCCAGTCTTATTTTTCTGGTCACTGAAAGTGGGGAGGAACTTTGTCTTTGTTTTTTTACTTAAAACGTTTTTTTTTCTACGCAAAATCAAGTACCGCTACTAATTATCGGATGAGGTCGAGTTTTTTTTTATCATATTTAAGCCCTATAAGGCGTGATTTGAACGGTATAAGAATTTTTTGAAAAGGTTGTCACAGTGTAGAGAAAAACCGAATGTTTGTGGCATATAATAGTCCAATTCATTAGCCAAGTCGGGAAGTTTAGTTTTAGGCCAGTAAAATCAATTTTGAAGTTTCTTTTACCGCCTTCTTTAGATTTTTTTTTTCACATTCAAATTGTTTTGATTTTTTTTTATTTTCCTGTCGATTTTTTGAGGAAACTTGTTGTTGAATCTACCTAATTTTGTATTAATATCGAATAATTTCTAGATCTCATCCCAACGAAACCAAAAAAACAACGACGGTAGCAAAAAAAACAACGGTTCCAGTCATTTTTTTTCTTCAAATTAGTGTGGTTTTTCTGCGTGGTTTGATTAAAAAATCTGAACGAAAAACCAGAAATTATGCAAATTTGAAAGGCACTTTAAAATAAGCTAATTTGACAACAGTTTTTTGAAAGAAAAATGACTAGAAAAACAAAAATAAAAAAAATTCATTTTATTTGCAGAAATTTTTTTGAATTTTTGAGCTTGTTGATTCCCAAAATGGCATCAAAATGACTCCAAAAATAGTTTTACTAAGTTCTTGCAGCTTAAATTAAGCATAAATAAGCTATTGTAAGCCTGCTCACTCGCTTTAATTGCTCGACATAAGACGAAAAATCAAAAATTGTTAAACGGTTTTTCTCGACTCTAGAAATTTTTTTTGGAAACTTTAAATTAGTTTAAATCACCACTGAAAGGGCTTTAATATAGTATATCACTCAACCCTTCCAATTATTTTTTGTGGGAGCTGATTTTGAGTGGAAAACAAAAATAAATAAATAAACTGAAACACACCCGAATACCAAGTTCCTCCCCATTTTCAATGGCCGGAACTACAACACAAGTTTAAAAAAATCAGGTTTGTCCTCGGAACTTAGTGCTACTTGCACAGCAACCGGCTAACCTTGTTTATTTTTGATTTCTTGCATTTTAAAGACCCAGTTTGCAATTTCTTCCATCTGTTTGGAAAGTACAGCTTCGCCTCTGTGTTGAAGTTAGAACTACTGTTAAATAACCACCTGTTTCATTTTCTTCAAATAAAAACGAATGACGCAAAACAAGTCGGATTATTTTCCTTGCAAAATGTATAATAGAAAATTTATGACTTTATAAAATTAAAAGAAGAGACTGCTACTTGAGAAGTTGATGAAAGTTTTGTTAATCCCTCTAATAGGTAAAACCGCCTCAATGCTGAGATTTTATGCAGTAAGAACTAACTACTCATTTTGCTCATCGGAGACAAAAATTATTTTGTATTGTTGTGAAGCAAGTTTTCATTCTTGAATATTGCAGTAATGGTTGTTAGTTCAGCAAAATATTATTTGATAAGTTTCAATTCGTTTTTCTCCTTTTTTTACGATACCTTCGAGTCAACAATGTGAAGAGATAAGTCGTCGAATTTTTAACAAAAAAAAACATTTTTTTTGGTCTTAAATTAATTTGTTTTTGATTGTGGTTTAAGGTTTGAATTATTTGCTGTGAAACTTCTGTTGGCTAGTTGTTGGGCCCGTTTTTAATCAAAGCTTTATTGGAAATCCTCACATGTACTTCTCTCTTAATGTTTCCGTGGAAGCAACTTTTCGCGTGCAGACTTTGAAAATCAAAAATTTTGCCGCATTTAGGTACTAAAAGTCACTATGTTTTTAGTATTTTAAATATTTCAATGGATTTTTTTTTCTTCAAATTTTAATGGTTTTATTTATCTAAGCATCTTTTAAAGCAAAATAGTAGTATAATTTCTGAATATTTTTTTTATGTTCAAAACTTCACTTAATTTTAGTACTTTTTTGTAAATCAATGGAGCTTATAACGCAAGATAGGTGATAATAATTCTCTTCATGAGATAAAAGTTACTTTGACGAAGGAAGATTACTCTTGCACTATTTATTTGTCGGGACCAGCCCCCCCCCCCCCCAAACACAAACCGACTTCCACCCCCCCCCCCCTAGAATATTGACATATCCAAATGAAGGGGGGGGGGTCTGAATGGACCTCGCCGGAATTTTTATACCATAAAGTGTATGCTCAAAGATTAAGAAAAATATGTCATTTTTGAGATCTCCAAATCAAAACTGTTCTTTCATTGCAAAACAAATTGTCGTCTGGATTGAAATACCTTTTTTTTGGCAACTTTAAGGTTCAAGAAAATTTTAAGCTCTGTTTTAACATAATATTTATGAGAAGAATTGATTCAAAGTTGCGGGAGCACCCTGATAATTTTGAACCCTCCGCAATGAAAAACGTTTTTATTTCAAAAAGTGTCCCCCCTCATGTAATTTTCGACCCCCCCCCCCCCGCGAATTGCGTACTGCAGAGTACTGATGATCTGGCTTTATGCTTCCAAAAAGGTTCTCCAGATAACATATTATCAAAAAAGTCCTCCATAGTGATTACTAATGCAAGAGGCATATTTTCGATCTTATCCTACTGATACATTCAACCCTTTTTTTGATCATTTTCTCTTTTACGCATGCATGAAGCCTTTATTCAGTTCTGATTCCGGGATTTTTGAAGAGATTCTCGCGGGCTGATATTTCTTTTGCTTCTTATTTCGATAGTATATGAAGTAGCTAGTGATAATCAGCTAGCTTTAATGATATTTAAGTTCGGATGTGACTCAAAAGTTGAGCTCTTCTCTAGTTTACGCTTTACTTCATTCGTTGCCCACATGTAAGCAGGATACCGATTTGTCAGAATACATAGAAAGACACATAACAGAAGATTAGAATGGCAGAAAGTGAAAAGTGATTATTAGCCAATCAGAATAGAGTATGGGATGGGATTATGTAATATAACGTGGAGATTTAATATAAACGTGACAGAAAATGGAATAGAAAAAATGATTCTCACTTTTGGACATTTTTTTGGTTGAAAATGTATGCCATTAGATTATTCTGTCATGTTATGGGAACTAAAGGATAAGGATACACCTGGAAACCAGCCAGTAAATGTATCTTTTCTTTCCTCTGGAATTCATTTCAGCCTGTGATTGTGGATACAATTTATTCTTTGAAGGTACTTGAACACAAGTTGAAGTGACGGTCGACTAGAAATCGGATCCAAAAGCATATTAAAACTAGCCGATATTCAAGCGAACCGAAAAAAAAATATTGTGTTAACTAATTCAACATGTTGAGGGTCCAATTTTACCGATTTTCGGGATCTAACTTTTAGCTTAACTCCTAGAATTCCTCTACATTTCTTGCGGAAGTCTAGTTGATGATGGTCCAAAAATTATCGATTTCTGTCATCTGTCTGTCATTTCGGTGGGCTGTCTGTTTTACCTTCGAAAATAACTTAACTAACTGTTAATAAAAATTAATTTCTGGCATGCAAACCAGCTGAAATTTGACCGATCTGCCATAAAAACCAGCTGAAAATTTTGCCCAGATCTGTTGCAATATCAGATTGAGCCAGCATTCATATAACAGATAGAATTTGGATGTATTTGATGTAACGAATGCAGTTTTTATAACGAACATGCTCGTTTTCGGATCTGTTGAGTTTCGGTCGTCTTGTTAGCACACCACTAAGTTCCAACTCCAAAATCAGTTAACCAGAATTAATTTGTTTGGATACAAGACAGGAGGCCCTTTCCTAGCAGCAGTAGTCTTCTCGCGATCAATCAGACCATAATGTTATGTTGCCATTTGGGCTTTTAGGCCGCCCATTAAATGTATCTTTCTTTGGTTTTCCTCTTCTGTTTATGTGAACAAACTTTGTTTTCACAATTCACGCGCCAATGAATGACTTCATAAAAGCACAGGAGTCAAAAAGGGACCTAAAGGTTGTTTCTTCTCAAAAGATTCTTTCTGTCGTGACTTCTCTGGCATTTCCGGGTAGCTTGATTGGGCGCAGGACAAAACTAATTGCTTTACGACTCTGGGTTTAGACAGGAATTATTTAGATTCCAATTTAAATAGGCAAATAAGCCGCTGTGATTACATTTCATACTGTGTCAAATTATCAAGGAGTTAGGTTCAAGCGGTGCTTTTTATGACCATGTGGCGGAATGGGAGGGATCTAGTTTCTTCTGAAACAAAATAGACTTGAAAAATTGTCACACCATTATACGTCGCATATTTGATTATATTTGAAGAAAAAATGCATTTAATCTTATAATTATTTCCGCCTGTCATTGGACATTATTCCGGACGAGTTACTTCATAATTTTGTTATAACTCATTACAAACTATTCCAACTTCAATATTAAAATTGTTGATACCTAGTTGCATCACGGGGTTTTAGACCATTTTTTATTCCAGACCAATTTTTATTCCATCTAATCTGTTCAGCTTGTGTGTCATATGCCGCTCAATTTCCATATTTTTTTGGCCAGACTAAATTTTGAAGCCGTGTTACCATGATGCCCCAAGTGTGAAATGTGATGATGTGCAGCATTTGCTTTTACCTGATTATATCGGAAATATGTCAGAAACTTCAATAGCTGAGCTCAAATTGATTTAATGGAAAAGTTCTTTTAAACAAAAATCGATCTAATACAACAAATTCAACAAAATTTCAACCGAGCTGTCGAATTACCAGTAATCAGAACTATTGTAAAATAATTTGTGAATGATGCTCATCCTTCTGAAAATCAGTAAAACGTAGATTTTCATTTCATTTGGGACTATATATCCGGGAAACAATGAGTTGTCATGATACGATTTTCTGAAGAGTTAGAACTGTTATACTTTTGAGATTTTCGCTGATTTATCATTATTGGCCGTTTATCACTTTTTACTAATTGATCCAATGAGGAACGTGTGGAGTGACTCAGCTGTTGTTTTAGGGGTAAAGTTTGATTTTTGAAATTAAAGTTATGATTTTTTTTGTTCCGACCTTCGATTAAAGTGAGGGAATCTTTGTGCTCGGGTTGTTTTTCTTTCTCCGGACAAGTTTCAACTTTTTAACTAGCCGTTTTGACGGAATTTATATCATCTGAGTGGTTATCTTCTTTTATATCAGCTGATTGGTATTGTTGTCATGAGCTCAAATTTAAAAAGGTATTTCACTTGTGATTATTTTTTGTTAAGTTACGGAAGTTCAAAGATTGCCAATTTGTGACAGTTAACGCGCGACATATTTCGCGCTATTAACGCGTAGACGCAGATTTAATCCGTCATAGAAATCGTTCTAAATTGGTTTTAGCAGGCCATTTGCCATAATTGCTATGTTAATAGGAGCGAAAACTATCTTTTTGTACTTTATATTGTGTGTGGGGGGTTGATTTTGTATGTTGTTTTTATTTTATTTTTTAATTCAATAATTTTGCTCCGTAGACTTTAAAAGGCGATCGGAATATTTAAGACTTCGTCCTGTCACGAACAGTCGTTTTGATATTTAATAAAATTGCAATCAATAAGGATTTAAGCAGCTCAATTTGAGTGCGCATGTGGACGGGCGTTTTGCTTAAAATAAAATGCGGTTGGAACAAATTGAAGAAAAAAGTGTGAAAGAGGGGTTTCGGTAAGAACTAAGTGGGACAGAGGGTTCCCAAATCACGCTAGTTCTGAGCAAATGTAGCAGTTAGTTAAATCATTTGAAAGCCGCTGGGTCCTTCGTAACATTTTTTTTCTCAAACGTAGTTTTTCTGCCTTATTTGTTTATCAACTTGTTCGACGCTTGTACCGAATTGAAAATACTCGTTTTTGCTGAGTTCTCAACAATACTCTGAAATAACTCGTGCTGCTAGTTGTTTTTCTGTACCACGTACTACAGCAAGTTATGAAAGAAATTTATGAGGTTTTCGTTTTAATAACTTTCGAGATGCGGCTTTTAAACTTCCAAGTTTTTGAGTTACAGATGTTTTAAAAAAGTAATTATTTCAGAGCATTTTGGAGTTTAAGTTTCTGAAGCGTATTTGAAAGGATTAAATTCCGAGTCGTCAGTCATCAATGTATGGCCAGTTGTATTTTTTTTCATGCAGTTTTCATGTATGAAGTCAGCCGCACTAGGCTACAATAATAAGCTAAAATCTTGAGACTCAAAAACTTATCAGTTTTTGGGATAAGGATGGTTTGGCAATTTTTTCAGTCGCTTCAAAGTTTTCGAAGATTTGCATGCATTTTTTTATTGTTATTGTCTGTGTTTTTTGCGATCACTTGTCTGTCGCTTAAGTATTTCATAGTATTGCAAACTGAATTTTTGGCTCGGATTTTTTTTTCTGAGTTTCGAAGAAAAAGACGAAATATTTGTGCTCGGGGTGGTTTTTTTTTCTTCGACAAATTTCAGCTTTTAAACTGGCAAATTTTCATGGATTTTTTTATTATTCAAAAAGTATTGCTCTCTTGAGCTCAAATTTAAAAATATATGTCACCTGTGATCCTTTTTTCTAAAGTTAAGGGATTTAGATATTGGTAGTTTGGCCTGTTGGGAACTATTAGCGGGCGATAAATTTCCCGCTGTCAACGTAAATGGAGATTTGATACGTGTTAGGAATCATTCCAAATTGAACAAGACTGCTCGTATCAGGGCGAAGCCCTGAAATTTCCGACTGCCTTTCAAGGTTTATGGAGCAGTAATAACATGAAAAAATTTAAGGTAATAAAATAAAACTTTTTTTTTCAAATTTGAGACTTTTTTGTAAAAATCATTACCCCTCACGCCTTATAAAGTACAAAGTGATAGATTTCGCTCCTCTTAACAAATCAATTATGGAAAATAATCTGGGCTCACGTGTTAATAGCGGGAAATATATCGCGCATTAATTGTCCCAAATTGGCCAAGGTAATTGTCCCAGAAAAAACCCCACCCCGAGCACAAATTTTTCGTTACTTTCGTTAGAAAAGTCGGAACAATAAAGGTATGCTATTTGGTCTATTTAATATTTTGATATTACGTTATTATTTCAACTTTTTGTTTGAAATTTTATCAAGTTTTTAAAACGAACATTACTCCAGATCTTAAAATGCCGTCCGAACATTCAGGGCTTTGCCGTGTTACGAGCAGTTTTCTTTCATTTTAAATAATAATTGTGTTCAAAATGTTTTCATCCGTACAGTTGTTTATACTTATAACTTTCGAAATTGACACGCCTCTGAAATAATTATTTTGGATAACTATTCGAAAATTTTTTTAGCAATGCCTTGAAACGCATTGACAATAAAAATTCAAAAAGTTTGAAAAGAAATCTTAAGCAGTATGTTTGTGTCGTTGTGATATTTAATCACTGTTCTCTCTTTTTCTACCATTGTCTTTTTTCTGTCAGGTGAGACGAATGAAGAAACTAACAAAATTAAAATTGTCTTTGAGTATTTAACAGTTTTTTTACGTTAATAAATGCAGCTAGAAGAATAGTTTCGCGTGGGTTGACGTGATCCGAAGAGTCTATAACTATGTAACTTTTAGACTAAGATATTTCTTGAAATGCATCACGTTGTTCACACTGATGGACGGAATGATTAATAGCACCAGTATACTTTTCACATACTCTCTGAAACACCGAAATTGCAACTATTGTTTCTCAACATTGGGAAAAATTTTCTTAAATAAGCAGCTAAAAAGCACATACATGATGTTCTAAAGACCTTTGTTAACACAAGCAACGCTTGCGCTATAAAATGAGTTCACTTTGTTTTGCAATAGAAGTCGCTCAATTGTGGGTTTAATTTCTGCGTACCCTCTAGTTTCAATTCGACAATTATATACAGCACCAGCTGTGCTGTATCCGCTCAAATGAGTGACATTCAGTGCTGCTTGTTTTTCTGGATCAATCAGAACTTATTGTTCCGGCTTTCAAAGAAAGTAACGAATATAGATGCTCGGAGTGGTTTGTTTTCATTCTTTATGTAAATGATTTTAAATCCCAAATAAACAGGAACATGAATTTAGTGCAATTTGCTGATGATACAAGTATCTAATGTTCAGGAAACTCAATAACGGACCTAAGAATATCAATGCTAGAAACGCTAGAAATAGTATATGAATATTTGAACGAAAATAAACTTTTCCTTAATGTTGATAAAAACAGAATTTGTTGTCTTTGGGCAAGAGAATAGTATAGAAAAAGTTATTTAGAGCGAAGAAACATTTTCCGCAATTGAACGTGCCAGGTATCTTGAATTGTTAAGCAAAATGGCTGTTGCAATTAGGTCACTATACTGTGTGCGACATATGGTACCATTAGAAACAAGAGTAATGCTTTTCATATAGTTAGTTGCCACATTTATCTTTTAGTTCAGCATTTTTTCAAAATCTACCCATGTTTCAAATTAACAGACTAAACAGGAAAATTAATTGGGGAATCAAAGTGTGATATGATCATGCACGTGATCTACTTTTAAAGTCTTAAGGTTAACCAGCCGAATTATTCATTACCCAACATAGCTTGACTAGAATAATCGATGTGGCAAAAGTTTTAAGACAATGAAAACGGTAGGCAGTTTATCATTAACAGAGTACCCGTGAAACTAAACGAACGCACAAAACAAATGATACAAAGTAGGCTTCTAAAAACAAATTGGGGAAAAAATCTGTAGCAAATAAAAGTTGTAATAACTGGAACAATTTAAACGCAAAGCTGAAAAAAAATAAACAGAAGATTTAATTTGTTTTAAATTTTTTTTTGATAGAAATGCATTAAAAAAATTCCTATTGATAAATCCATTAGTTCTTTTCCAGATTTATTTTATATCTAATAAATAGTATTGTCTCATTTATATTTACACAAGGTGTAGTTGCATATTTAAATGCCGGTGTAGTTATTGATTTTTGATTTATACTGAAAATTTCATTTTGTAGTAGCTTGTATATTTAACCAAGTGGTTATTTTGAAATTACATTTTTCTAGAAAAAAAAGAAAGTAAGGAATATATATGCTCGGGGTGTTTTTTTTTATTCAGACTAATTCTCTGAAATATTTCCCTCGGGAAATGACACGATTCCCATTATTCAGCTCAAAATTCAAAGTTTGTCAATATTTCCTTAATCAAAAACTAATCGAGACGAGTTTATAGACAGTCGGAACATTCAGGGCGTTGCCCTAGTACGAGCAGTCGTGTATTTATATTTTATAAAATACGGAATAAGTCGTATGGAAAAAAATCGGAGAGTAAAAAAAACTGGACAGCATTCACAAATGCAATGTTTCAGGCGGGGAAGGAAAAGCAGCTGTGGAAAAAATCCACTAATACGCCTAAATAACACTGAGAAGCAATTATCATTTTGTCGCTTTTACCAATACACCGTTTTTCTCCAACATTCATATGTTTTTTTTTTTGGAATCCGAACAAATTTGGATGTGTAAATTTGAGAGACGATATATCAAATGGCGATTGTTTCGACTTTTAACATGCATCCATGACTCCATATTATCATTTTAAAGTGTTTTGTTGCAATTATAAAATGCTGGTATGGTCGTATTTAGCTTTGGTACTGGCAGTAACTACACGCCAGGGCCAGTGACTAACTAACGAAAATCTAGCAAATAATCTTCGCTCACGTACCATGCTTTGTACCTTCATCAGTGTTGTTTTATCAATTTTTACCATTCAAGATAATTTTCTAACTTAAAAAATCGACTCTCTGCCCCAGACGAGGCAACCAAACAGCAAAAGCACGGGCGGTCCCCTATTGTAAATCATTTTTATTTTTGGATTTGGAATTTAGGCGAGGGTGGTGGCGGGTCTTGTGTTCCTGCTTGTGGTGATCAAATGTGTGAAGGAGTATCAAGGACGTCCTTTCATAATAGACCTCACTTATCTGTCGAAGACCAGCGGCAGTTCGACGATCACGACAACCGCAGCTTCCACCTCAGTCGCCAATGCCGCATTCCCAGACCTCATCATTTGTTCTGCACAAGAAACTCAGGTCAGACATATCTTACAGGAACCTTATATAATAAAAAGCTATATAATACGTCATTTGCTCTTTTTAATTTACTTTGCCTGTTCAAAATTCAGCCACTCTAGAGAGTTGCAAAAAGGTTGAACAGACAGACTTAATTCAAAACAGCAAAATACGTATTTCAGATAACAAGCTACTTTTGTCAGACAACAATTGTTTCAAGATGCCTAAATTTGCAGATTTTGATCAAACTGGAAGATTTCTTATATTAATCGATTTTGTCTGTTCCAAGTTCTTGAAACTCAGTATCCATGCTACCAAGGATTGTTGAAGTTTCAACAGACAGTATAGTGTAAAAACAGAAAAAATAGTTTTTCAAGCAACGTAATGTATCTCGAAGTAATCTGACATTTCAAATCTGCACAGCATTGTTCAAAATCAGCATATTGTTTGTTCTAAATTAATTGTCATCTGAAAGTTTTTGCAATTATTATGCAAATTATGTATATGCATTAGGTGAACGTTTTTAAATGATTTTTTGACGAACAATCTTCTGTCTGTTAGAAAGTTGAAAATTTGCATATTTCAACAAAAGCTGAAGCTGACATTCTCTGAAAAAAAAACCAGATTGTTATAATAAATTGGGAAACTTTGGGCCGTTTTTTGCTTATAATCTTGACACCATAAACTAATCTGAAAAGGCGCCACGGATATGTTGAACTTCATTAACAATAGGTTTGGAAGTTTCCATATCCCTTTCATTATACTAGTAAGCTTGCGAGCGTTAGTGTATTAGTACGAACCTTCCTTTTTTCTAACTAAGCTCGCAAATAAAAGTGTTCATTAAAATAGTTGGAAATTTCATAGAATCTGTTCTCTGCTTTATTTGTGGCTAGTATTTGTGATTTATTAAGTGTCCGTGACTGAGTTGCTAATGCGTGAGACTCGTAATCTTTAGGTCGCAGAGCGAATCCGAGACGTAGCCGAAATTTTACTAATTCGAGGCTTATTTCTAATGTCTCTTATTGCACTTCATAGATCTGCTATTTGTCACGTTTTCGCTAGTGTTTGCAAAGCGCAGCTTCACTTGTGTTCAACTTTTCGGATGATGACTTGGGCAGAAACTCGTTTCATTTATAGATAAGTTTTTTTCATGAATTGTTAAATAGTAACGAACATAGTGAAGACTCGAACATACTGGTGACTTTTTTTCAGGAAAAAGTGTTGAAATTTATTCGTGCTTAGTTTTGATTTTTTTTGCGGTCTGACATGTGATTTTAAAGTCTGCGCGTTTCCATTATTAAAAGGAAGGAAAACTCCACTACCGAACAGCAAAAGCGTTGAGGCCGCGAAAAACGTGATCGACTTCTAAGTTCGAAAGAAAGTTAAATTATCAGATTTCTCAGCGGAATAAAAATTTTGCCTATTGATCCAGTTTTCTCAACTTGTGTTCATTCATTTAAAAAAGTCAACATAATTTATTCTAGAAATTTAAAGAGCTTTAAGGCCATCTGTTTTTCTTCGAAATTCGAAAGTAAAGATTTTTTTTTACAAAAGCAAGATTGTTTCCTTCTGTTCTTGTCTTTTTTCCAACTGCCAGTTTGCTAGGTTTTTAAATAATGACGTATAGGCACCCATATAGCTGTTTGTAGGTATGTAATTAGACTCATTCATTCATTCATTAATTCAGTCAAAGACAGCTCCTACTGCGTTGTGGAATACCCTAGATCACGTGGTCTAGAGCATTCCACAACGCAATAGGAGCTGTCTTCGACTGATTTAATTAGGTGATTGCTCGATTTACTGTTAAATTTTGTAATGTTAAGGCACCAGATTTTTTGATAGCCAATTTAAAAACCAACACTTCTTTCTTCGATCCAAAAGTTGTGATAAAATTATCGCAAATAGGGACATTTAATTTAACAATTTGTTTGGAGATTGTCAGGTGTTATTTTGACTTTGACTTTTTCAAAAATTGCGAAGTGTGCAGCTAAGTTTGCCGTTCACGTCATTTTACCTAAGACCATCTGAGTACGTACGTTCTCAGATTGTCTTAGATAAAATGACCTGAAAGCCAAACTTAGCTGCACACTTATTGCGCTGAATGTGTTTTTGAGCCCATATGAACAATCCCCCCTAAATTAAATGGCAAATTCAAGCAGTAAAGCTTCCATGTACTATGCTCGAATCTGATTGGCTGAAACTTAATCAAGTGAAAGATCACCTTCCTAGTATGATTTAAGAGGAAGATTGTTCATTTGGTTCTCTTTTTGCGTTGAGTGTGTACGTTTTGAAGTAATTAATCTTTCAATTTTTTGGTATTGTTTTTCGGTTCTTTCAACATTTTCATCGAAGCATGCAGAAACTGAAGTTACGTATAGTACATTGCCCAATGATTCGATTACCATGCACTCCAATTGATTCATAAGCAGCCGGTTTGTTAAATAATTTTACTTCCCTGTTCAGTACGAAATGTCTGGAGCTGCAATGTCACTACTAGCCAATTAATACTAAAATCAACCCAACTGTAACGGACTTATGTCTGATCTGGCATTGTTGCCCGCTCGGAATTTGGTTACTAACTTGATTTCTGAACTATATCAGCCCAGAATGCGACTGGCATCCGAGTTGACTACTTTATGCTTGCTGTTTTTTTTTTACAAAAAAAGACGAATTCGGTTGAGGAGCTGCTGCAGCTGAATTGTCAAAAACCCTTAGGCGAAAAACAGCGGGCGCTTTTGCATCATTGTATTTGGAACATGTCGTACAGTTAGTAGTAATATGCTTCGCTGCCAATCTAAGTGGCTCTGAATAAAATTGGGGGAGCGAGAAGGGAGATATTTAAGGAGAATAAATCAGCGATTTTTTGGAATTTTTGACCAATCAGAGAGCAGCAAAATTAGTATTGTTACTTGAAAGTTCTAACGCCAAATCACTAATATTACCCAAAATTGGTGAGATTCCTTAGTAGACATCCTAGGGGAAGGGGATAGTTATTTAGATCCGGCTTTTCCTCTCTCTCTCTCTCTCTCTCTCTCTCTCTCTCGGTTCGAGGTCCACCATGATCCGCATTCGTTGTCTACGGGTGAGGCAAATTTTACAGCCCAGAAAAAATATAGAGAAATAAAGAATGATAGCCGGTTGCTGTGCGAGTAGCACAGACTGTTCCGACCACATTCATAAACAAACTACAATTAAAATAAAATTAGTGTTGTTTTTTGTGCGTGGTGGTATGAGAGAAGTATAAAAACGCGCATAAACTTAGACCATTTATACACGAGGGAAAGGACAAACATACGAGCTGTACAGCTCATTACGGCGAATCGGTGTTGTGTCTTTACTTAAGAACTACATGCAACTTTTATGGTTATTTTTCTGGGTTGTGTACTGTTACTTCACCCTCAAGCAACGAGCAGGGTTGACGGTGGGCCGCGAACATCCGACCTTTCGATTCAGGGGTGAAAACGTAACCAATTCACCACCGCTCATTTGTGAATTAGGCTTATTCGATCACAGTTGTCTTCAAAAAATGAATACCAAACAACAAAATGAAGAAAATATTTCAAAAAATACGAAACGTTTTCAGACTTCTTTGGTTGGCAATGGAGCGGTAAATGAAGCTTCCAAAACTAGTTTTCCTTTCAGTAAAGAGAAGTCTTATTAGCCTAAATGACCAAGTTTCATTAAATGAAGTATACTCGATCGCTTTACTCGCTGAAATTTAACCTGGGATAACTTTTGAAAGTTTTTAACTTTTGTTCGAATCTCGACTGAGAATGCTTTAATGTGATATATCACTCGACCACTTCTGATGATTGCTCTTTTCAGCATGGTTTTGAGTTAAGCAAATTAGTAATAATTTAACTCTCTCTTTTCAGGACGAGTATTCTTCCCATGGTGAAACGGACGAGAAAAGTGCATCAGCCGAAAGTAATGATTCATCGTCAGAGAGGACGAGAGAGGGAGACAAGGAAGAGGGGACGACACCAAGCATAGCAGACTATGTTGTGGACTGTACAATAAAGAACTACACTGTCACTGCGCAGGATGAGTTTATCAATTGTGCCGAGTTTTTCACACCCTACTTTCACCAGGCGAGTGCGGCGGGACAAAAAAAAGATATTTCTGAAAAAGGTCCAAAACCTCGTAGGCAGCACTACATAACTAATCGAAAAAAAACAGTTATTCAATAATTTTAAGCAGTTTGTTTGATTTTAACTAATTCAACGTTTACCTAGTCCCGGTTGCTTTTTGGTCACATTTCCGCAGAAGTAATCATGATAAACTTGGTTTCAACAAGGCAACTGTTTCAATCATTACTCATACAAATTAACAGTTGAAATTTGCTGATTTGCTGTCTTGGGAGAATAAAAAAAGTCAGTAAGCTGCCTATCGAGTGGTGTCTTCATGAGCGAACAATAAAAATAACAGTTGAATTTCTGGCTACCAAAATTTTTTCATCAGCTACTTGTTATCACAAATGCCGTATGCAAAGCAGAATTGAATTTAGTTGATTGATTGACAGTTTCATAAGCCGTTGATTAAGTTTTTTCTGACGCAAAGAAATTATTTAATAATTGACAAACCTTTATTTTGATTTTTTTTTCTTGTAGCTCGTCATTTTTTTCTGTTTCGTAACCTGAATTTACTTTTTTTTATATGAGAATTTGTCAAAATGTGCTTGGTCGCTGATTGCTTAATTAATTAGTAAACACAGGTGCTGCCTTCTGATTATAGAAGCTTTTTGAGATATAATTTTGAAAATTTTTGAAAATGCAACTTGTAGCTCAACTTATTATCCAGATAGCGGTCAAGATGTTTTGGGGGTCTTTCTACAATTGAAATGATCATTTGTGTTGATTTTGGTCCAATTTTCAGGTTTTTTGTTTTTATCAAATTTAAGAGTTAATTTTTTTTTTCAGTCAGCCACATTCTAACCTTTTCTGTGTTATTTATTTTTGAGTCTTTTAGGAGAAATTAGGCTGCAATAATTGGTATAGGAGTTTTTTTTATTTTAGACAAGCATTTGGCAGATTTTTCGTACAGATAAAAAAATGGGCCCAAAGCTGGCCCTTGTGGAACTCCATAGACGATAAAACATTGATTTGCTTCTTTTCTTCAAGATTTTTGCGTTCACGGAAGCAAGCAGTTTTTTGGCATATTGGGAGAAAACCATATTGTAAAAGTATCTTTTTTCGATCTTGCGTGATAGAACCCTGTATTTTTGTTGTTGTTTTCAGGTTACGAGCTTTCCTGTTGTAAATTATATCGGATTATTTGTTTTGTAATCTCCCAAAAAGGTAGAACTGGTTTTCCGATTGACCTGGTCTTATTAAAAATTTTTGCTTTGCCCAGATGCAATCTTTGCGATCTGAGTGAAGAAATTTTCAATAAAAGCTGGAAGATTTGGCATCTCGAGTAAAACTGACAGGGTGGCAGGTCACCAAGGAGTTACAAGGCACATCGATATTGATTACTTCATGTTAGAAGTTGATTACATCCTCATCATTATCAAAGCTATGTCGAAAGGGAAAATTGTTGGTAATAATGCAATACCTCGATGAGAATAGAATTTAGAAATATTTTAGAACAGTTATCTCATTTTACATAATGAGATAACTATTTCAGAATAGTTATCTCATTTTTCGATTTAGTAATGGCGTTGTTTTGATTTTGGACATGAAATAACGAAAATTCAAAAACCAATTTCAGGAAGGGTCAATAACATTCAACAGTTGATCGATGTATTTTTTATAATACCTAACATCATGGTAGTCCGCAGAGGGAGTAAAGATTTGTCTTAAAATTTTATCTCAGAAAGTTTCTGATAACATTTACACATACGTATTTTTGACCAAATCGGCTGCGCCGCAGTCGAATTTTTGAAAAACAGGCCAAAAACGGCATTTAAGGTTTTTTTTCTAGGTTGACCAAAAACTTACATTTTGATGGCACCAGTTTGCACTCAAAGAAAATACGACTTGGCGCCTTCACAAAAATCATTGTTTTTTTTCTATTAGTGAACCCGGGTGCTGCCTTGTGATAATTGAAGAAGTTTGGGATGTCCTTTTGTACGTTTTTGAAAATGCAACTTGAAGCTTAATGTATCATCCAGACAGAGGTCAAGATTTTTTGGGGGCCTTCTGCAATTGCTTCAGTCAGCCACGTTCTCACGTGTTTTATGTTGTTTGCTTTTGAGTCTTTTAGGAGAAATTGGGCTGCAATATTCGGTTACAAGTTTATTTTTGACTTCAGATAAACATTCTGCAGATTTTGATTACACATCAGAATAAAGGGGCCCCAACAATGAGCTTTGCGGAACTCCATAGGCGGTAAATTTTTAACTCGATACCATTTTCACTCATTTTTTTCTACCTATTGGTTAATACACGCAAGAAGTTGATTACATTCTCATCAAAGCCATGTCGCAAGGGAAAATTGACAATAATGCAATACTTTGAGTATGGTCGATCGAGATCATTGATTTTTTTAGAAAAGTTATCTCATTTTGGATTTAGTAATCATGTTGTTTTGATTTGTGCTTGAAATAACGAATATTACATAATCAATTTCAGGAAGGGTCAATATCTTTCAACAGGTGATCGATGTTTTTTCTTGATAATACTTAATATCTTGGCAGCTATCAGAGAGGAAAGACTTTTCTCAGAAAATTTCTGAGAATATTGATTCATATGAGATTTTTTTGTCAAAATTGCTGCGCTGCAGTCGAGTTTTGAAAAACAGGCAAAAAACGCGTTTCTAACTTTTCTTTTAAAAATTTTGACCAAAAACTTATGTTTTGTTTTGGCGCGAGTTTTCTGCTGAAAAATAGTTTATATTCTCGCTTTTTCAAAAATTTTGAGACTGCCGGCCAAAAATTGATCTTTTTAAATAGTATCTTAAGGCGGATCTTTTGGGCCAGCAGAGGGTGGAGTCCCTGAAGGAGAGGGCGTAAGCCCCAATCCCCCTCCCGACTCTCGCCCCAAATCCGCTACTGGAGATTTCAATTGAGACTGTATGTCAATAATTCTTGTTGCCTTGACTAAAATGCGCCTAAAATCCTCATAAAATTTTTAGGCTATTTTTGCTACCGGAAAAAGTTTGCTCAAAATCTTTTTTGATTATTACTAGTGACTATTTTGAGATAATGATGACAGCTTTAAATACAAGGAATTGTCAAAGTAATAATAATTTTATATGGTTGATGATATTTGACACATGTCTGTGGATGTGGTAGGAGTACAAGTTCTGTGCGCAGATGAGGATGCCCTCTGATGTGAAATACCAGGCGAGTAAGTTGAATGCAGGCTACTTCGGAGTTCACCTCACCCTGTTCCTCGACTCAACTAGCCCCCTCACTTCCACCGGCAGAGGGGGACGGGGACCAGCCATCATGCCACCACACTCCAAATTCACCGGCGTCATTGTTAGTTAAAAAAAAGTCAATGAAAGTTTTAAAGCGCTATTGACGCAACGTTTTAACTTTTTTTATCGAGCGCCACGTTTGAAATAATTTGAAATCTTGCTTGTCTAGAAAAACTTTTTGCGAACTAATTCGTATTAGAAATATTTTATTTTTTCTAAACCGATTTACTACATGGCTTAATTTGGCATGTCCGAAGTTTCATAGCTTGAATAGTTTGATTCGAACAATAATTTTGCGATCAGATTGATTATTGGAGACTAGTACAATTTAACTGAAAGTCATAATGCGCCATGGACGCAGTGTTTTAATTTTTCTATCGGACTCAACGTTTATGAAGGTTTAGATCAGAATGTTTAAGAATCAAACTTTCTAGAACTTTCAATCGTTCAAAAATCTGAAACTTGTTAAAATTATTTTTGAAAATAGTCAAAAATTTTTTAAACCAACTCGATTCAACTCTACGGCTAGGCAGCACCTGCCCTCTTTTTGTCCAAAGTTTTGCGTTTATAGATTGATTCAGTCGGAAACGAAATAACTAAAAACAGCAACTTCCATGCTTAGAAACAGTAGCTTTTAGAAAACGGATTTGTGCTCTGAAATAACTATTAAATTGATAATAAAAAAAAACTTTTAAAGCTCTGAAATTTTTTTAAAGTTTCATAGCTGAACCAATTCGTTTAGAAATTTTTTCACACTCCGATTCGTTTCAAATACTTGTAGCTTAAATAGCTTATAAGAAAAACTTGAACTTTTCGCAAACCGTTTCGGTCTATGAATTAACTAGAATTTTTTCAAAGACCGGGAATAGTTTGCTTAAAAAACATAAATTTTTCACCATCTGATTCATATCGTTTTAAAGATTCATATTTTTAATAGCTTTCTATGAAAAACTTGAGTTTTTCGCGAACCGATTCGTTCTATAAAATTAATTGAATTAAAATTACTCTCTACAAAATTACTTCAATGGCTTTCTTAAATAACACCTGAACTTTTCGCGAATTGATTTTTTGTATAAAACAACTCAAAAACTTGCCAAGTTTTTTTTTTGCTTGAATTGCTTGCAAAAGAAAGTCTCAAACTTTTTGCAACCGATTTGCTCTATGTAATATTTTTGAAATGTTTCAAAATTTCGTAGCTTAAATAGCCTTTTTAAGAAAAAATTTGATCTTTTCGAAAAATGATTCGGTCATGAAATTACTTAAATTGTTTCCAGTTTTTATAGCTTGAAGGTTTTCAGTAGAAAAAAATACTAAATTTTTTGCCATCCAAATCGCTTCTTTTAAGACCTGAAACCTGAAAGACCATCTATGGAACGACCTGAAATTTTTCAAAGTTTTCTGGCTTGAATTGCTTTTTTTAGAAAAAAGTAACTGTTCAAAACCCAGGTAACTGAATGAAACAATTTGAATTGTTTCAAAGCTTGATTTTATCAGTGTTTCGTTAAATGATTCATTAAATGAAATAACCTGAAATATTTAGGTTTCATCGGTTGAATGGTTCCATTAGAAAAACTTGATACTTTCGCTATCCGGTTTTTTTCATGAAATAACGGGAATAGCTTAACCTTTCCGCCAACAATTTAAACTTTTCGCCAACATTTTCGCTCATTGAAACCATCTGAATTAGTTCAAAGTTTCCTTGCTTGAGTAGCTTGCAAAGAAAACTAACTTTTTGCAAAACGATCCGTTCTGAAAACAACTTGAAATATTCAAAACGTCAGCGCTTTAATGGTTTCAGTTGAAAACTTCACCATCTTTTCCCTATCAGCTTTGCTTCATTACAACGTTTCATAGCTTGATCTGCTTGTGTAGAAAAACTTGAACTTTTCGCAAATGGAATTGGTCTATGACATCAGTTTATATTTTAAAAGCTTCATAGCTTGAATAGCTTGCTTAAAATTAACATGAGCTGTTCGTGATCCAATTCTCTTCACAATATAACATGAAGTTTTTCGATTTTTTAAACTTGAGTAGTAGTACTTAAAATACTTCAACTTTTTCGCGACTTAATTTGCTCTATGAAAGAAATTGAATAGAAACTACTTCGGTTAATTCGAAGTTCTTAGAAAACCTGAAGTTTTCAAGAATTGATTTGTTCTATGAAACAAATAGAAATATTTCAGTGATCAAAGCTTGAATAGTTTTATAAAGATTTGCTTAGTTTTTAGGCAGGCGAGATTGCTATCGTTAAGCCTTAAGCAACAAGATCACTTTTTTGAACCAAAAGCACGTAGTGTAGAGCAACTGTGTTGTGCAACATTTTTTTGTCAATGAAAAAGCATAACCTTGCCACAATACTTTTTCTGAAACGCATTATTCGCTACCTGTTACCGTTTTTAAATATACGTGAAAAAAGTACAGGCTGAGATACCGTAGCAGAATTGTAAGAGCTACTGGTCTGGAGATCCAAGTTTGAATCACATAGACCCAATTTTTTGAAGTGGATTTTTGAAGCTTAGTCTTTCGTGAGACGGCAATTTGTAAGGAAGCTATTTGCATGTGCGAAGGACCGAATGCGCGAAAATTTTCAAGCGCCGACTAAATTGTTCAAAACTGTTTGATTTTATTTTCTTCGAATTTATGAATAATGAATTCTGATTGGCCGAAAGCGTGCTCGCGCTTTCGTTCCTTAAAGCTTGAGGGATTTTTCATTTCATAACTGGCGACAGTTCGTTATAGTGAGTTAAGCAGCAAAGACATATTCACGAGCAGTATACTTCTCGTGTCGAATAGAGCAAGCGGTCGCTTCTTGCGAATGATCTTATTACCAATTGTCAGCTGTTACGAGTCTTCACCGGTTACTAGTTATTGCCAAGTCCATGTTTTTTTCTTACATTTTTTTTTACATTTTTTGCTTGTATTTCCAAACTGCAGCCTTACTTCAATGTTAAATTTTTTGATCGATCCACCCGTATTATGAGACGGCTACTTGATTTTTTCTTATATTGCGTGTTGCTCTTTTTAGGTGGGCCTGCAGGCATCCAGTGACGACTGGCTAAGTGACGTCACGTGGACCAGTACACCCCCGGGAGGCTTCTCGGTCAAGGTCATTTACCAGAAGATATATCACGTTAAACTGTCCAAGCAGAGGTAACGATGGCCGTTTTTTTTGGGGGGGGGGTTGTTCTCATTTGTGTATCCCATTATCATAGAAGGCAAATAAAATAGTATGGAAAGCATTAATGGCAGATTGAAGAAATGTCACTGTTCCCGTTTTCCAAAAGAAAAGGCAGCGGTGCCTCTAAAATGCGCACTTCATTGCAATGATTTGAAAAAGCATTGGCGCTTTTCTATAATTGCTCTTGACTCTCCGTGTAATTAGTATGAATACGTGCTGATGTTTCGATTTTATGTCTAACTGTTATGGTCCGCTATCTTGAAAGACGGGGTTGGGGGATTAACGGAAAGCAGCAACTCTCAAAAGGCTGCATTGGATTTTATTGTACCGACCGTTTGCTCCGCTCTGCCTACATTCAGCAAGAATGGTATAATGCGCGTACACCAGTATTTGATACTAAAATTGATTTAAGATCAATTAATTTATTCAAGTGTTTATTTATTATTGCGAGTTGTAACAGAAACCCCAATGGTTGAAGATTTAGCTTCTTTATAGCTCGATAAATTGCCTGATTAGTACATATTTTACCTAAGCTATGACTGATTCGGCGCGTTTCTCTCCAAAATTCGAAAATTCTAGTTGGCTGATAGTTTCTTTCTGTCATTCAAACTTGCTCTCATAAGAGCCAGGGAAGTGTAGTGGGCTTGTTTTTCTTCAAAGTTTTTTAGAGAACTTCATCACAGATATTACCCGCAATGTAATGAGGCTGGTCAGTTTTTTGACAGAAATTTTTCCTTTGATTTTGTTGAGTGAAATTAAGGAGTGGAAAAAAATACGATCAATTATATCACTGAGCAAACTAATTTTACGTGCAATCAAGATACAGTAAAGTTTATTCATAGATCTGCTTTTCTTGTGATATTAATTTTTATGATTTTGGCATGTATTATTTATGTCTCAATAAACGAAGAGAAGACAATTATTTATGCCGTGTAGTTTTTTTCCATTTTTTTCCGCTAAAAACTTTGAAAGCTCGTTGCTCTCATAATTCATTTTTAACATTTGATTTTGACATGCACTTTGAATGCGTTAGCTAAATTAAAGGTAAGCTAAATTTTTCAATAATAAAATTGCAAAAAGCGCTAAAAAACTTTTTAGTTTTAGACTTCAACTTCAGAATTCCCAGCAAAATAAAATTTACTTTTTGACCCTGTCTTGTCTTGACCTAGTTGAATGCGAAAGTTTTAATGTCAAAAAAAGTTCAAAGATCTTTATCATGATATTTTCTTCTACAAAACTTGAAAGCTACAAAATACTATGAATGTAAATCGTTTCGAGTGCAAGGAAAAAATAACACAAAAATAACTCTATGTTAGCTAATTGTTTTTCTTTCTCAATTTTCATGCCTTAAATGTTTTTAAACGCTTTTAATTATTTTATTTTTTGCTCTACGATAATATACACGAATTGTTAATTGGGCAAGGAAAATCAGACGAATTTTAGAGTCAAAAGGGTTTTCTGTTTGTAGAGTTCTTAGCAGATTAAACGATTAGAATGAAATACGCATGAAATGCTAAATCGGAGATCTTCGAAGAAAGTGAAAAATGTGAAAGCATAAAAGAAAACATTTATTTAAAAATGTCATTAGCTAATATATGGCATTGTCTTGACAGGCTACTCACATAAGGTCAGAGCTATGCACATCAAACTCCAAAATTACTGTTCAATTGTAATCGGTATAAATCTAAATTAAACAAGGATAGCCAGTGACTGTGCCAATATATATATTTTTCTTCAAACTAGAGTTCGTTTTCTCTGTGGGCTAATAAAAAGGTATGATAAAAAAGTAGTCATTAAGAATATTCTACAGCCATACTAGAAAAGTCCAAATTGAAAACTGTTTTTTTTTTCAGAAAAAAAACTTTAAAAAAAAACGAAAAAAAAAAATCGCAGAAATTTATTCATTATAAAATAGCGCTAAAAACCCCAAAACTTAACTTTGCTTGAGTATAACTATGTTTTTACGGTTTGAATTAAGCATCAAACAGGCTATTGTAAGCCTGCACGCTGACCTTATTAGCTGGAAATTAGACCAAAAATCAAAAAGTTCAAACCGGCGGTTTTTTTTAATTATTGAGAAAATAAGTTTACAATTCTTTAAAGTTGTTCGAATCACAACTGAAAGGAATATATGACTCTAGTCATTCCGATGATTATTTGTATTGCCTGATTTTGCGTTGAAAACAAAAAAAAAAGAAAAAATCTAAAGCACACCTAAATACAAAGCTCCTCCGCTATTTTTCTAATGATCAGAACAATAAACAATTAAAGAAAAGTTCAAACCCATCTGTCAAAATTTCTGAAAACCGCTAGTCGTAGGCACTACTATTTGGTTTCAAAAACGAATCTTGACCTTATTCGCTTACGGGTACTGCTTCTACGAACTTTGTCCCATTCCTCGAAGCCTCTAATTAGGGGCTGATCGGTCCGTAGTTACCTAACTGAGCACATGCGACAGTAACCAGCGAACAAGCCCAAGTGTGGTTTTCACATATTCAAATAAATAAACAATTTAAGACATGCAGGCACTTCTTATCTATCCTTTTTCTGCACTATCTTTGCATTTAGGTAAATGGAACTCTAAAGCTTTATAGAAAAACTATGTCGCTTTTTTGGCTTCCTTCATCTCATGAATATCTTTACAGCTGTATGTTGGCCATGTTTTTGCTGCGGTAATTTTAGAAACTGTATAATTTTTAAAGTCTGATGTGTTATTTTCTTAAATTTTGTCGATTTTTGTTTTAAAGTATGTTTGAGACGTCCAATAGCAGTAAACATTTCATGATTTTACCAGATAAGTTAAGTATTTTATGAATTCCCATGAAGACTAATAATCTTATCGGAGGGACCGAAGTTTTTAATCAATTAGAATCTTGAAAAACCGTTACACGTTTCCTTTAGCTAAAACTTTTACGCAGAGAAGAGAACAGTGAGCTAAATTGACAAAGACTGCATGGTTTTTAGTCGGTCAATACAGTGCTGATTTAAATTAACCGGACAAAACGCGTTAAACTTGAAATTTAAAACGCGTTTTTCTCAAATTGGGTTGAGTTTAGGTTAAAATTTATAGACAAATCTTGCTTAAATTTTTAGCAAAATTAATATGGTGTAATTTGTTTTGCGGAATTCGGGCCAAAAATTTTACCCCAAAAATGGGTCATTTTTTTTTTTAGTTAATCAAAAATTACGCCGGATAAACTCAGTCGATCACAGACATAATTATATCAAAGAGAGCGCCTTGCGTAGCCCAACAAACTTTAAGAAGGGTATATTCTCCAAAAAAATTGCAAACCGTTTAAAAATTGTTTTTAAATAAAAAGTTGGTCTTTTATATAGTAAAAACGACTTTTTTGTCAATCAAACAAAAATAAATTAACTTATACAATGTTTTGGAGAATATACCCTTCTTAAAGTTTGTTGGGCTACGTAAGGCGCTCTCTTTGATATAATTATGTCTGTGATCGACTGGGTAATTTCGGCGTAATTTTTTGATTAACTAAGAAAAACCAAAATGACCCATTTTTGGGGTAAAATTTTGGCCCGAATTCCGATAAACAAATTACACCATATTAATTCTGCTAAAAATTTAAGCAAGATTTGTCTATAAGTTTTGCACCTAAACTCAACCCAATTTGAGAAAAACGCGTTTTAAATTTCAAGTTTAAAACGTTTTGTCCGGTTAATTTAAATCAGCACTGTATTGAATTGATTGCTCTAAATTTGATATTTATTCTGTGAGATAATCGCAATTATTCAATGTTCAATTCTGATTGGCTTTCCATCTTCCGGTCCCTGCATCATAAGGGACTCCACCAATTAACGATACATGTTTTGTTTCAGGTCACATGTGTGTCGCAACAAGCGTCTAATGGAAGCTGCGGCTAATATCAGTGATAGTTAGTGCTATATTGTGTTTAACCAAGTTAAACATGGCTCTTTGCCATTCTATTTTTCATATCTGCTTAATAGGGAAAAAATCTCTGACTGTTTTTGTTTTCTGTTTTTGGTTTGAAATTAGGAAAAAAACAAGGAAAATAAAAGATTAATTAAATATGAAAAGTCATGATATTTGCAATCTGTCCCTGTTTTAGGCCAAAATTAAATTCATTGAATGTTTCTTTGGTACATGCTGTCAGTTAAGAAAACTAAATACAGCCGCCCTCCAAAAAGTATTTTTGCTCTTATATGTGGAAATTGTGGTTTTTCGTATTTAGTTGCTTTTAGTATTTTCCACTGCGGTTGGTTTAATAAATAAAATTAATAATCATAATAATTTGCATCTATAATTATCTATTAATACGATGGTTTCTATACAAATACAATATATTTAGGCAAGCGCGCTTCTTCGTGTGAGAAATTCATAGACTACGAAGTGCAGACACGAGCCAACATGTTCCCCACGAGTCAGTTCGGCCCCATCCTCCTCTCTCGTGCCTGTCTCTACTCGGCCAGGACACGACCCCACAACCACAGTCTCACCACTCGATTACAACACCTCATTCGTACAGGAAAGTCCATAGAGACATAGATATATATATATACAATACAATATACAATATACCAAATTTTATCATAATAAATTTAAAAAAATACTTAATTACCAAAAATTCAGCACATGACGTAGGAAAAAAAATTATCTTTAGATAGACCCTTTTTTTTTTTTTTATTTGCCCCCGGCCTGCTCAGTGCAGGACCAACCGTGGGGGAGGGGGAGATGTCATCCATTTTGCCGCAGCCGGTCCCACCTTGAGGAGGCGGATGACACTGGGACCCCTCCAGCCGTGACCGAAGCGGGATTCGAACGCATGACCCTCGTGTTAAGAGAGATGTGCCTAACCCACTTGACCACAAAGTTCCTTGATTGCAAAGTTCCCCGATAGACCCTTGTACTAATCTTGAAAAAATAGTCGTATATAGATAGATCCTTGATTAATCTTGAAAAAATAGTCATATATAAAAAAATTCGCGGGGAGGACGGCTCCAAACTAATTCGAAAAAAAATCGAATTTGAGCAAAAGACAATTTTGGTCAATTTTTCTGATTTTATGGATTAACTGTTCCTTAAAAACAGTAAACAAAACGGTATTGATTGCAAAGTTCCCCGTCAATATTTTAATTTTTTTGCAACTGGGTTAATAAACTCAGTTGCCTAAGCTGTCGTACTTTATAAGCTTTGGTAGCTGAGTTTTGAGACCGAAACCGTCCAAAAATGATTTAAAAAGGAAACATTTTTATTTGAAAGGAAAAAAACCGTAGAGGAGCCAAGATCTTTTTCAGTAGAGTTTTCACAGAGTTTCATGTTATATTGAAGTTATGAAACTGCGGAAAGCAGCTAAATGATTGTTGTCTGAAAAATCTAGAATAACTTTTGATATAACTTAACTGCTTATATTTTTGCAATGTATTATAAGTTTTTTAACAAAGTATTATAAACTACTTAGGGAAATATTGTATTTTATTGTGACCATATTGAACCAGAACCCATTGAGAAGATCTACCGCAAGTTCCTCCACATACACGTGGTTGCAAATGTGGATTCGGACCCAGAAATACAAACTGAAAAGGTACTTCAGAGTTCTCTTAGATTATATATATTTTTTCAATTAGCGAGCTTTTTTTCATTTATTTTAAATCATTTTCAGAAAAAAAAAAGCGAAATACTACGACATTTTTTGGATCGGGTCAGCAAAACTCTCTTAGTGTTCATTTGATGTAAAACCTTATTTTTTCAAAAATTTATCTGAAAAATATCAATTTTTTCGAGTTTGTGGTTTTAGTCCAATATCTGTCTGCTGATATTCGGTTTTTTTTTGCCAAATCATTCATTATATCTGGTATGCTCTTCAAGCTGTTTCGTTCCTAAGCTTGTGTTGTTTAAATTTTGATTCAAACTGTTTCTTCTATAATTACACAAGCAAAGCTTGTGTTATAGTATGAACGCTCTTTTTTTTCCAACCTAAGTCACAAATATTGTTGCGACAAGATTTGTTCATTTTGATCGATAACTAGCTATTAAGTACAGCCAATGCTAAGGATTTTAACACAGATTATTATATTACAAATAGCACTTTAGCTTCAAGGTATCATGGATCTGTAGCGTAGAGGTAGGGTAGGAGACTGGCAACGCAATAAGAGGGTTTGAACCTCGGCAGGGTGGGATGTTTTTGACGAACTTCTTCGTATACTAGTTAAAATGAATCCGCTCTGTAAATTGATGCATGTTAGTTGATATACATTTTTTCAATTTGACTGGTACTGCTAATGCGTCATAAATGGCTTGCGTCACTTAGCAAGTTTTTAGACTCATAATTGGCGTGTGTCACTTAAGAAATTTTGTAGACTCGAAGTTTTACTCATTCGGTTTTTCCCAGTAGCGTTATGTGTCATATTTTTGCTTGTGTATACGAAGTGCAACTTCGCCTTTCTGTTGAAAATTACTCTATGGTTTGTAGATTTACCAACTCTAAAAAAAAATTTTGTGACTTTTTTGGTTAAACGGGTTGATTTTCGATTTTTGTCAAGTGATTTTTTTCAGCTTAATTTTCAAAAAATTGACTTCTGTTTTTCTATGCAATATCTTGTACTGCAATGTTTTTAATGTATCGCAAGTGTTTCAGATCTCCGCTTCACCTCTGTGTCATTCATGAGCGTTTTTGAAGTGAGGTCTTGCTAGATGTTCGTTTTGTTAGTCTAACTTCAAAGAAATCAAAAAATTTCCGATTTCAGCTTTGGCTGTAACGCTCTTTGAGCTTGTTGCTCCGTCTTCGAAGATGAAAAGGAACTTTATACTCGCTTTTTTTTCTTTTACGCAGAATCATGTTCTGTAAAAAACGTCAGATTATATCAAATGATATATCATATCAAAGGACTTCTAGACGCAAGTTGAGTTGCATTAAGCAATTCGCAACAATTTACTCCAGTGACGAGAAAAATATGTTTTGAAGTTTTTGCTATGAACAGCGCCTGTCTCTGGTCAACTGGTCAATTTCAGCAAGTGAAGTGACTGAAATTTTGTTTTGCTAATCGAGTTTTTATGCTGCCATCAACTAGTTCCCTTCCCTCGCCGTCTCATCAACAAAAAAAAATTGCCGAAAATGTAATTTTACATTCTTAGCTTCTTTTAAAATTTATTACTTTAATGACTTTTTTTAATTTTAAAATATCTGCTAATTTTAGGAAAACTATAGATTTGAATCCCAAAGCTTTAATTTTACCAATTTTGCTGGTCTTGTTTCATTTTTGCTTCGATGACCGTTTCTAGGTGTGGTATACGGAGTACGTGTTGCTGTCTAATATCGGAGGCTGTCTCGGAATGTTCCTCGGAACTTCCGTTTACGAGTGTCTAATTTCTCTACTGCGAAGAGTATGGAGATATTATGTGGTGCTGGAGTTCAAGTTCAAAGGAAGTGAACCTATGAAAACAAAGAATTTGAGTGTGTAACTACAAACAATTCGAACCTTTCCAAGAAAAGTAGAGTCTGGAGCTGAAGATAGTGGATGAATGCTCCAAAAATACAAGAAAGTTGCCTGTCTATGAACATTTGATGAATTGAATCGTCTCGTCACCTTAAAACAATTGATTGAGAAAACACAAGTTGCAAATGATAACATCTATAAATTCCTAACCGGCCTGAGTCTAATTTTGCATCATGTGATAGTTTTTTAAAATTATGTAGAGCATTTTTTCTTGTTCTGTTATTTTTTTTTAGATAATGACAACAATGTAATTGTAAGTTCCATGAATTGATTGAAAGTTTCAAAGAGTAAATCGGTTGCATTGTAAACTATTTAACATGTTAGTCATTATCATGTGGTTTGACACCATGATAACTGTTGTTTCGTTGGATTGTCCAAGTGAACTAAAGCTACCTCCTGGCTGATCTCCGTACTCAAGAAAACAAATTTGGTTGACCGTAGCTCGGTCATAATTCTTAAACTATTTATCTGAGATGGTACAGGCTTTAAAATTAGTCATGGTGCGTTCATTCGGCTTAGTGAAAAGCTTGTGCGGTAGCCTAAAGTAGCTGTAAAATAAAAAAAAAATCTTCCTTTTTCGGAAAAACAATAAATATAAACAAGACAAAAAGCCTTGAATGTTCCAACTGCGCCTTAAATAGTAGTTAGTAAAAAAGCCAGACTGATTTCAAGGTTTATAGAGCAATGTTTGCAAAGAAATATTGATGAATTATCAAAAAAAATTTAAAATTTTTTTTGAGCTTTTTTAAAATCATTGAATCACACCATATAATGGAAAACCTGATGAATTTACCTCCTTGCAACTCAAAATTTATGACAAAAAGCCTGATTTAACCAATTTGGAACGATTTCTAGGTGGATTAAACTTCCGATTAAGCGTTAATAGCGCGAAATATTGCGCATTGATTGTCCCAAATTGGCAATCTTTAAACCCCATTACTTTACAAAAAATATCAGAGGTGAAATTTTAAATATTCTTTTTAAGTTTGAGCTGAAGACAACGATATATTTCGATTTTAATAGAAATACTAGTTAAAAAGATGAAATTTGTCTAGAGAAAAAAAAACTACTTGAGCACAAATCTTCCGTCACTTTCTTTGAAAATCAGATCAAAACACAAAAAACCCTTAAGGTCAAAATCCAACGCCAAATGTAACAAATCCCTGAAAGTTCCGACTGCCTTTTAAGGTCTATGGAGTAATAATAAGATACAAAAATTAAATGTAAAAAATAAAAAGAATTTTTTTAATTGAGATTTTTAGTAGAAATCGTCTCCACACCTTCCATATAAAGTACTAAGAGATAGATTTTGCTCCTAGCAACAATTCAATTTTGTCAAATAAGCTTCTTTCTCTCAATTTGGAAACGAGTATTAAGACGAATTAAATCTCCACTTACGCATTAATAGCGCGAAATATATCGCGCGTTAAAGGTCCCAAATTGGCAATCTTTAAACACCCATAACTTTGCAAAAAAGTTTCACAGGTAAAATATCTTTTCAATTTTAGGATCAAAACAGCAATGTTTTTTGAATGTTATTTAAAAATTCTCCGTCAAAAATGGCTAGTTAAAAAGTCGACTTTCGTCTAAAGAAAAAACCAACCCGAGCTTAATTATTCCGTAACTTTCGTTACGAAATTCGGAACACTAATTTTAGTAGTAAAAAAACTAGCATGGCCGAATAGATTGCTCTAATTCAATTTGAAACAACTTTTTTAAAATCGTAACAACTCGTAAAAATAAGTACAGAGCATGGTAAAATTGGAATTTTCCAAACTCCCAGAACTTCAAAAAACAATCAAAGATTGTTTTTTTTCTTCTACATGTGAACACCGAGAGTCGATATCTTCAATGCAGTGTTATTTTTTGTGTAAAACGTATTTTGACGGCCAAAAATTGAATTAAAACAAAACACCACTCATATCATAAAAATTTTTGGAACCAAACTTAATCTCTGCAAAATTCGAAACCAAAACTTTAAGTTCGTCTATTGTTGCACATTATAAAAAATCAAAACTATTCAAATATCCGATTTTTCTACTAATTCAATGAAAATGTAAAAAAATTACAATTCTTAACAAAAGTCATTTTAAAGTATTCAGTTCCGAAGTACTGGTGAAAACAATTATCGAAGTAACGCTCCTCTTAAGCGAAGAAGTTAAAGATAGTTTAAAAAATTCTGCTTTTTCAGATTTGTTCTCACCTGGCTGTTCTAATTGAGGTCCGAGAGAGCCAATCAGTACTATTCAGAGAGAGCCAATCTGTTGAGGCAATCTTTAGAAACGCAAAGCTAAAAGAAATTTTAAAGATAGAAAATCAGGGGCGGATTTAAAGGGGGCGGAAGCTCCTCGTTCTCTCAGAGATTCAATCCCATGCCGACCCCAAAACGTCCCCCTTTATACTACTTTGAGATATCCCTTTTTGGCGGGCTGACCCCAAAATTTTTCTAAAGGCGACTTCGGCGCCTAAATATACTAGTTTTGAGGAGGGAGCGTGGCTCAGAAATTTTGGTCAAAATGGGGTTCTTTATAGTGACTTATGAGAGCTCAGAAAATCAACTTGGTCGACCGAAATTTTCGAATTTTTTTGAAAATCCGCCCCACCTCGAGAACATTCTTGATCCGCCCCTGTAGAAAACTATATCCTATTTGAATTTAATGAATCCAACAGATTCTAATTAGGTAGAACTGGATCAGTGATAGGGCATAATTTTATTTACAAAAATTCGAGTAAAATCAGTTAATTTTTGATTTTTTTTTCAAATATTGCCTATAATTTTAGATTTTGCAAAATTTGCTTCATTCTACTGTATAGACTTAAAAATGGTGGGTTAGTGTTATTTTAAGGGTTATTCGAGCGTGACAAACTGTACGTTTCAACTTGGTCAGGAAACTTTTTTTGGTGAAAGTATAACAAAAACTATATTTGATGTTACTCTGAATCAGTACTGATTTATCAAATTTTGAAAGATGCTATAATTACACGTACAGATTCATATTGCAGCAAATCCAGTACTGTTGCATCGGTTTCATTTTGGTAAAGTAAAGTTATGTACCATAATTTTTCCTGCGTCACTTAAGCTTTCATGGAAAATAAATCTGATTTTACCATGGTGAAAGTCTCTGAATGTTCCAGCTATCCCGTAAAAATTTTGATCAAATTTTTAATTGGTCATGTTTTCAAAACAATTACTATTTCTTTTTTTTAAATTTTTCATCCCATATGCGATGCTAATAGCAACGTGATTGATTTTACGCCCTGCGAAACAATTTCAATCAGTTAGCTTGCTTTCAGTTAAATTGAATTTTTTTTCGAACCATCATTAAATTCACGAGTTGGCCATTCAGCACTATAAAACTTTGAAACCAAGCACACCCAGAGTTATCCCGCACTATGAAATTGTTCCAAATTGAATTCAGGCAAACTTATGTGTCTTAATAGTTTCCAATACGACTCAAATTTTAACACTTAGAGTTTGATATTACGAGCCTTAAGCCAGACAATGCTGCTCGTATCAAGGCAGAGCGCTGATTATTCTGACTACTTTTTTTATTGGTCTCGAATCGTTTTTTTTGTATTTGAAATATTGACAAACTACAAATTTTAGGCTGATTAAATCAAACTTATGCGTATTGAAACAAACTATCAAATCATTATTCCAGCAGCACAGCCCAAAGCCGGAATTTAGCCAAAACCAAGCATACTCGCTTGGCAATCACAAGGTTTCCGGATCGATGCCCATACCCAGTTAACTTTTCCTAAATTTGGTCGGAATAAAAAATAACCACCACTGGCCTATACTTTCCTCAGTTTCTTCGAAAGTCGGAACAATAATTCAGACAGTCGGAATATTCAAGGCTTTGTCTTGATACGGGCAGTCTTGCTCAATATCTTTCAGATTGCACAAAAGAAAAGTACGAAAATTGCAGTTTTAAGAACAAGGCATTACTTCTAAAATTCGAAAAAAGATTTATTCACAGTAATTATTGATATAAATATTAGTACACAAAGTATGGAATGAGAAGTTCTAGCCAAAGTTTGAACCGCTTGTCGCCCAAATTTCATGAACATCAACACAGCTATATCTGTCTGATTTTTATAGCAGCTCTGCTTAACTTCAGAGCTAGGCGACTTCAATCCTGGAGCTTCAATTATGCGAAAAATGTTCTTCTTTTTTGACGACCTTGCTGTTCAGACAAAAAGCGAGAAGCGTAAGTTTTTAATGAGTAAGTTTCAACTGCTTACCCAAAGATAATTACTATTAGTTTGTAGTAATTTGTTAGACTGCTGCCATTGATGGACCAGCTGTGATCAAAATTTGTATATTTTGGATTAGATTTTGTACCGCTTGACGAATTTCTCGTTTTTGCTTGTAGTTAGTCACAGTTTTGCTATCGGTAATCGATAGCTGAATTACCAACAGTTTTGTAAGCTTTTTGACAGTATCGTTAAACGTGCTCATAACTCGACCTCATAACATGCTGTTCAAATTTAAGTCAATTAGTAATAAGAGAAAATAAAAACAGCTTTGAGGTGGCTTTGGTCGGTTTTACTATAATGGTCGGCTTTTATAACATCAACTTATATGATTTGATTTAAAAACTCATATACAAAACGTACTATTTGACCATATGATAAAAAAATTCATGAAAAAGTAATTTTGATTAAATGTATCGCAGCACAAAATATTTAGTGAATATGTTATGTCTAGTTTTCACGCCAGTCAGATAAATTTACGGTCAAAGTATTTTATAATTCTATAATGGGTAAGCTATGGGATCTTATAGTGACGCCAAAGAGTATTTTTTTTAAATTTTCTAGTGACAAAAAACTGTCCAAAAGTAAAACACACTTGAGATCCATTCGACTAAAGTGTGTTCACTCAGAACAAAAAAAGCGTACACTTATAAGAAGTTGTTTGATTAAAATTTATATACCTGGCGGAGAAAAAATAAAATCAAGCATTTACTTTCAAAGCCTTCAGTTTTGATTTTAATCACAGCAAAACATATCAAAAATTTGTATTCTCAAATTTCTTACATGTTCATAACATGTTGCTTCTAACAATATTCGTTAAAATTAATCTTAAAACTTAAGTTTCTGGCGCGATCGAGATACTTTACCTTTCGTAAAAATCCGTTCTCGAATAAAGTTGAATCTAAACGGAAAATTGGAATTTTAATTGAAAAATGAGCAGCATTTTTTCATCTTTTTCATCGAATAAATCCAAATCATCGACTAATACGACGAATACAACAACACAAAGAGGATCGAAAGGCGCCGTAATTACGCCGGCCAAACCTCTATCTACAAACAATTCGACAATTAACACGACAAAAACGGCTTCTGCGGCCAAAACGAGTGCCGAAGCCACGACTCCGAAGAGTCTCGGGAGTCCGACTGGCGAGAGGCCGCCAGCAGCAGCCAAAGTTGCCCGGTCGAATTCGAATAGCGAGTCTAATGGAGGGAGAGGGGGCTACAAAATGAATGGACGGGTGCTGAAACCAGCCCAACTTGCAGTTTACCAAGAAGCTTTTAATTTGTTCGATAAGGTAAACATGAATTCACACACGGCAAAAACAATAATCAGAAAAGCGTTTTTTAAAAAAAGATGATTAAACTAATTTGAAAGTGACCGAAATTTCATTTCTCTGATTCATTTCTCATTTTTTGTATTGGGTCTTAAGTTTTCGTTTGCTCCATATTGTTTTAATTAATAATGACTGTTGAAAGTTGAGCCAGTTAATTTATGTTGCAAAACTATAGTTAGCGCTTATTTGTCGCAATGAATTTGCAACAGATAAAGTTTGTCCATCTACGGTAAAAGCAATATCTCAATTTTTTTGCCGATTTACAGTAGCTGATTTACAGTACCATTTGGCCCGAAGAAAATATTTTTTTAAATATTATTTGACATCCTGAACTTGTAGTTACCTTGAAAGAGTATTCCCAATATATAGATTCAATATTGAAGAAAACGCGGAAAATTTATGCTTGAGGTTTTTTTATTCAGTCAATTTATGACTTGTTAATTAAGCATTTTTGGCAAATTTTTTACCATCTAAAAATATTGTTGTCTGCTGCTCAGACTTAAAAAATATTTGACCCGTAACTATTAATTTCAAAGTTATGGGGGTTTAAAAATTGTTAATTCGTTCAATTTGGGATAATTAACAAGCAATATAATAAATTTTTTTCAAGAAGCGTAAGCGGCGGATTAATGTCTTCGAAATTGAACTGAGACCGACAAAATAACCTTTTTGTTCAGACTCTGAAAGAAAGTGAGGAATCTTTACACTTGGCTTGGTTTTTTATTCAGTACATTTTTGACGTTTCAATTAACCGTTCCTGACGGAAGTTTTTCTATCATCCAAAAAGTATTTTTGTCCGAAGTTAGTATTTTTGATGTAATTTTTAAAAATAATAATATAATAACTGTGACCATTATTTGTTAAGCTAAGGGGGTTTAAAGATTGCCAATACGGCCAATTCGGGACAACTAACGGGCAATATATTGCGTAAGCGGCAGATAAATGCGTTTTACATTAATATGCGACCAGCAATTTAGTCTCATTAAATTAATGCGAGACTTTCAATACACGCTTTTGACACATCTGTTTAAAGCGATTTGGATAAATTAACTCAAATCCATTAGGTTTGGACTCAATACTTAGCTAGACTGAATTTCCGCTCGCTCTACCCGCTAATAAAAATATATCACTGATTAGTTGACAAAACTGTCTAAAATAGTGCATTTAAACCCCCATAATTTAACAAAAAATGATCACAGTGCAATACTATTTACATTATGCCTCCCAATTTACAGATACTGGCAGCAACAAATTTGTTTTCGCGTGTTAGCGGTTTCAAACTACCCTGCTGTACTGCACAAGTTACAAAGTTCTTGCAAATCTTCCACTTCCAAAATCAAACTGAAGAAAAAAATGCTTGTATCTTGCACGTAAAATTCTGGCGTTTGGTACAAAAGTTTTGCAAGATTGTTGAAAGATGAATGGAAAATCTTGCTCGAAAGTCTTGCTTTATAAGAGTCTGGCAAAATGAATCTAAAATATTGCTTAATTGTTGCGTTGATAAAGAATCTTGCAAGATGCATGCAAAATCTGATTTGTTTTTGCGTGTGAAAAGCATATCTTGCAAAAAAAATTGCATAATTTTGCAAGAGTTTTAAAAGATGATTGAGAAATCTAGAAAATCAATTGGAGAATTTTGATTAACTTTTGGAAAATAAATACAAACTTAGCAAGAAATTTTTCATCTGAATGCAATTTTTGCAAGAATTTTGCAAGAATAATGTATTTTCTCGCAAGATTTCTAGAACTTTGTATTCCGAGAACACTGGGATACAATGCGCTAATGATGAAAAAGAGGTCCATTCTAACCTAAGTTAATTGCTCGAGGGTAAACCAACATTACCCAGCCCAAAAAAACGAAGCAACTGCATATAATTCCTAATCAGGGGGGCAACATCGGTTCTTGTAAAGTGCTGAGCAGCTCGTTTGTTGCCCGCACTCAGTAAAAAGAGAAAATAATATATTATAATGGATTTTTATTGTGAGTCTCAGTCAACATGTTATCATTATATTGGATTATAAATTGTTTCAACATCTAAAACTGGCGCTTATAATCAATTATAATTTTTGCTAAAAGTACGATTATAATTATAATATAATCGATTATTTTCCCTTTTTACTGAGTGCGGGTGGTTCTTTCAATGGATAAATTGTTTGTTTCACCATAAGGGTTAGTTACTAGTTTCTTAGTTTTTCCAACATCATTAATTATCAGAAATCTTTATTGGTTTAAAAATTGACTCATAAACCAAAACCACTAAGTTTCTTTTCTGTTGTCATAACATCTTTTTTCTACTACAGGACGGAGAAGGTAAGATCAGCCCGCGTAAGTTGGGGTCTGTGATGAGACGCATGGGTCTGAACCCCTCGGACGCCGAATTAGCTGACATGATCAATGAAGTGAGCATACACAATCATTTCTTCCATCTTTCAATTCGGATCTTGTTGACTACCCCCCCCCCCCCCCTGTTGTTCCTTTGTAAGCATTGTACATCAACTATAGAGAACTAAAAGATTGATTGAACATGTTCGACCTTTTCATTCCTTGTAGCGAAACCCCCTTGAAATGGGTTGAAAGAGGCGTAATGTGACAACTCACTACAAAAGACAACTCGCAATTCTTATAGATAACGACAACTCGAAATTAATTTTAAAGAAAATAATTTATGTTATTTTCAAAATAGTTGACACCGAAAGTCGTGACAACTGGTAGCGAAATATTTGACAAGATCATTCAATCTTAAATTAACTAAATGCCATATTTTTTGAAAAGTTCCCTGTTTTTGCAATAATTAGCGAAATGAACAATGCTGAAACAGGACATAGCTTTTTCAAGGGGCGGATTTAGGGAGATGGGCGGATCGCCCCTGTCCCAGGGGATTCGAACCCCTGCCGACCCAAAGCCCACCCCCTTCGTAATATTTTGAAATATCCATTTTTGATTACCCTAAAAATTTTCAAAAGGCGCGCCAAAATGAGGGGCAACGCGCGTCAAAAATACCGCAATTTTTTGGTCAAAACTTTTCAAAAAATGCTTAAAAACACTTGTTTGGGCCGGTTTTTTTCATCAAAATTTTGCATGCGACGCAGAAAATTTGGCCGAAACAGGGTCGTTTTAGTGTTTTGGGAGAGCTCGGAGAATCAATCCTAGATCCGCCCCGAATCATAGAGCCTCTGCGAGCCTTTCATAGATTTTCTCGAGGGATGGGCGGCTTTTCAAAACATTTTCGAAAATTTTTGCGACCGCTTTTTTAGGTCGACCAAATTAAATTGATTTTCCAAGCATTCCCAAAACAGTATAAAGACCCTATTGTAAAAAAAATGGTAAAAAAATCGTTTTTCGGCACTTTTTCAAAAAAAAAAATTGACCAAAAAGCGCGCTCTCCCCTTCAAATTTATTACATTGGCAATATTATTAAAATAGATTTAGAATCCAGGAAAAGAAGAAGCCCCCCCCCCCCTAAACGCACCCCTGCGTGTATCTCTTAGTTTTTTGAAGACTCAGTGGCAGATCTAGGGTTTTCTCGAGGTGGGTTGCGGATTTTTTTTTAGCTTGACCAAATTGATTTTCTGAGCTCTCTTAAATCATTTTAATGACCCTATTTTGACCGAATGTTCTGCGCCGCAGCCAAATTTTTGAAAAAAGGCCAAAAAAGCCGCTTTTAGGCACTTTTTACAAAGTTTTGTCTTTAAATTCGCCTTTTTCCGGCGCGCTCCCCCCTCCCCCTGAAAACTAATAACTATTGGCCAGGGGTCGGATCTCTGAAAAAAACCTTCACCCTCTTTGCCCCACCCGCCCCTTCTAAATTCGCCCCTGCAAAAAACTATGAAAAAAACTTTTTCATCAAATTTGTGATTTTGACTAATAGGTTGACATCAACAAGAACGGCACGATAGAATTCTTTGAGTTCCTGGACATGTTGTCGAGTAAGGTACTGAACGAACCCTATGCCGAGTTCAAAGCAGCCTTCGAACTTTTCGACAAGGACGGAAACGGATACATCGACAAGGAAGAACTGAGGCAAGGCTATATTTTGTGACTTGATTTGCATGGTTTTTTCACTTTCTCTTTTTTTTAAAATCAAGCTCAAGAGGATAAGGGTCCGCAGAAAAGATAAATATTACGGAGGTATTCACAACAAATTGACAGGGGAACTAACAACTAAATGCACTCTCATAATGCTTGCTTAAAGTTATGGAATTTTGTTAGATTTAAACAAAGTTAGCGTTTTTTTTCTTGAAGTTAGCGTTTTTTGTGACGCCAATGATAAACTGTTCAAATCAATAACATTAATGGCATGGAAAAAGCCCAACGGTTATAGCCGCAATCGGATTTTTAACGGTTGCAGGATGGTCTATCCCATTCTAATATACTCTATACCATTCTACCCTATGCCATTCTACCCCATGTCATTCTACCCTTTATACCAATTTATCTTCTGCCAATCTACCCTTCGCCTAATTTAAGAGTCAAATCTAAATCTTGAGTCAAATATGATATTCTTTTTTCAATAAATAACAGAATTGGTGTTTGATTTGGTGAGAATCGATTTGGTGTTCTAATTTTTTAACGACATTCAAATTAACACCATACATTTCATCACGCAGACATTTCAATCCTCAACAATTTATATCCCGGACGAAAAAAATCATTTCATCAAGTCATTTCTTTTTACATTTTACAATTAAATCCTACACAACTTTTCTAATTTAACACCGAAATGATAAAAAACTAAAACAAATTAGTATAACATGAACATATTTATTTTGTTCCAACTATCGAGGAAAGTGACGGAACGTTTGTGCAGGATTGGTTTTTCCCCAGACAAATTTCTACTTTCTAACAAGCAAATTTGGACAATTTTTTTTGTATCACCCAAAAAGAATAGTTGTCTTGAGCTGAAAACTGAAAAGTTTTTTGATTATTTTTCGTATAGTTATGGGGAATTAAAGATTGCCAGTTTGGACTACTTGGGACAATTAAAGCGCGATATATTTCTCTCATAGCAATCCTTCCAAATTGGACTGCGACATATCCCCCTTTTTTAATCACAAATCGTGTGGGAGACTTTCAAAACACTCAAAAAATGTTCGGATTATCTTTTTTTTTTTTTCAAAAAATTGATGAAAAGTTTAGAGTGAACACTAATCCGTAGAAGTTAAAAAGCAGTCGGAAGATTCGCGGCTCTGCTCTGCTGCGAGCAGTTTTGTTATTCCGACTATCGAAGAAAATGATGAATATATACGCCAGAAGTAGTTTTTTTAATTTCAGACCAATAATACAAAAATTGACAGCGTATAAATCCTCATTTTGTTTGCGAATTCCACTTTCATTTGCGGATTCCATTTACATTTTGCAGATTCGACTTATATTTTGCGGAATCCAGTTATAGCTGCGGAATCCAGAACAACTAGCTATATTTGCTTGTTGCGGAATGTCCCGACAAAATTTACGTTACAGGTATTGTACGCGGAATCCACGAAAGTTTTGTAGGTGGAATCCATTTACATTTTGGAACATGTTTAAAGACTTGTATATGGAATCCAGGAACATACAGACACAAAATTGTGCGCCTACCCAGTGCACAGTTTGGCCTCGTAATGTACTTTCAATATTCGAACTTTTTATGCGTAGCAATTTATCTGCTCTCGTACTCGCTCCAAATTCGATTGAGGCCAACTGTAATTTGTCAAAGAAATTGTGCTCAAATGTTAGCTCTTGCATTTGATATTGGAAGTACAAAATTTACAGTTTATCAAAAAAAATTGAACAAAATTTTTTTGAGATCAGTTAAGAAGCAGTCGGAACATTCAGGGCTTTGCCCGTAATATACGTGCAGTCTTGTTTTCTCTTATACAGTCGTGTTTGTTTCCTTTTATAATGCGGTGATTAATCAACAGTAGCCATCGCATTCGCACCGACGTGTCGTGAGCTTGTCAATAGAGAAGGACGTTATATGAAAATCAGAGCCGATTTCAGCGCCCACCGGCAACCTTTAAACAAGAGTAGTTAAATTGTAGTAGTTTAACTGCTAAAGCATAAATTGCTAAAGCATTAAAATATTAGGAGTGAAACTGTACTGTATTAAAATGACGTAAAAAGGTGAGAGCGATTAGAATTAACTGGCTGATTTCAAGTTCTTTGACCTACAAATTAGAGACAGAGAAAAAACAAATACCAAAACAAAATCATTTCAAATTTATTTTTTAAACTTTTGTATTCGGAGCTTTTTGTGTTACTTGGCGAAAATCTGGCATTTAGGGCTAGTTTTAAAGATTGAAGATAAGTGTTTAATTTTAGGATAAATTGATATATTAATATTAGAAATTAATTGAGTGTTTTTTTTGTTCACAATAGGGCTGGTCTGAAGAGCATAGACGAAGAGTTGGGTGACCAGGACATCGACCTAATTTGGAGACATGCGGACAATAATAAGGACGGATGGATTTGCTTCGAGGAGTTCTTACGCATGATGACACTCTAGAAATGGGGGCGAAAAAACAATGCAAATAAAACAGAATGAACTCTTAATTTTTTCTGCGTAAACACAATCATATTCTATCTCTCATATTCACTTACTATGCTGCAATTATTAAGCTTATGCTGAATTTGTAACCCGTTTTTTGACATTTTAAACTTTTCAATGCATTTGACGGCGTTACTGGTAAAAAAAAATACTATTTCACGTAAAACAAGATTTTGACTTTTTACTATGATGAAGAAGAATGTACAGAATATGATTGATCCAAATTAGTGAGTGTTTCAATTCCAAGTAGCGGTTGATTTTAGTTGTTTTATATAATAGAAAAATTTAAAATTTACCATTCCTTTTTGCTCCAACTTACGAAAAAAAGTCACCTAAAAATTCGTATATGGGATGCTTTTTCTTCTCCAATTAAACTTCTAACTAACAGTTTTTCGCAATTTTTCAGAGCATGAATGACGGACGGATGGTTGTTAGGAAAATCAGCTTGTTTTTACTATTAAGCAATATAAACTAATGCTTTTGAGCAAAAGATTCGTAAATTTGAAATTTACTGAATAATTTCGATTGCAGTGGTTGCAGTAATTGTTTTTTCAGTTTTGGTAAATAGCAGAAAAGTTTTTTTGATAGTTAATCGAACTTGTCAACAAAATGTGCATGTCAGCCTTGCTCCGGTTCCGGTAATCAGGTCATAAAACAAAAGTGCCAAACAAAATATTTACTAATGAGAGGAATGCACAAGACTGAAACAAGAATGCGTGAATGTTCCGACTGCATTTTAATTTCTATGGAGTAACTCAAATTAAACTAATTAATGAAATTTTTCAACAAAAAAAATTAAATTCGTTAAAATTCCCACATTGCCCAAAATTTCATTTTTTAAACCCCCATCACTTTACAAAAAATGGCCGGGGTTGAAATACCTTTTGTAAATTGTGCAAAAAATAAAAATACCTGTGAAATGACTTTTAAAATTTCCGTCATAAATTGCAAGTTAAAAAAATGAAATTTTTCTGGAAAAAAACACCGGCGCACAAATTTTTTGCCATTTTCTTCAAAAATTGTCGTAAGAAAAAGTACCGTAATAAGTGGTGGTTTTTCATAGATCCTCTGCGAATCGTAGAAACCATAAAAAAAAAGTAAAAAGTAAAAGAAACGCCCCAAACTTGAATATTTTGCACTTTCTGCGAAAGTCGGAACAAAAAATTGAGCCTTTTTCTCAATAATTTGAGAGCTGCAATTAACTTTTGGGAATTTTCATACGACATATATAAAGAGAAGATTGACTTTGACTGGATCAAAAGCTTTTTGACCACAGTTTAAAAATTTTCAACTAACAAAAGAGGAAAGATTTGCATGAAGTGATTTGAAAAATCATAATTTCGTATACTTATGAAGGCCTGAAAATTGTATTGCAACGTATTGCGACGAAAAACCGGCTTTTTGATACTACCGCGACCAGAAATGCTTATTTTCTGTTCTTCGTTTCTTACAGGATGGAATATTATATTAATTGTTATTACAGCTTAAGGCGATAAAATTTTTGATCTTCGAAAAAAAAGTTGTAATTTCTCTTGTATGAACAAAAATAATAGTTTTCAGGTTGTTACAAAATAGATGCTCACGAAATAAACTTAACCAATGTTTTTTATTACTTGCCATTAAAACTAAAGGCTAAAAAAGCTTTCAGATAAAGGCATTAGTTGTCTAGTCTTGAAAAAGACTGCATTTCAGATTTCAAAAAAGTAACCTGCCCAACATATCTGGCTCTATAGTTATTATTGTTCCGGCTTTCGAAGAAGTGGGCGGACTATTTGTGCTCGGGGTTGGTTTCTCCCTGACAAATTCGGGTTTAATAACCAGAATTTTTGACAGGATTTTTTTATACTATTCAATGAGTATTGTTGCCCTGAGCTCAAATATAGAAAGATATTTCACCTGTAATTGTTTTTAATAAGTTTATGGGGGATTAAACATCGCCAATTTGGCCAGTTTGCGACAATTAACGCGCGATAAATTTTGTGCTATTTATGAGTAAGCGGAGCTTTATTCCGTCCTGGAAATTGTTCCAATTTGATTAAGGCATGCTATTTGATTGATATAATACTTTGCTATATGCTGAAATATGTCACTTTGCACTTCACATATCTTGCGGGAGATTGTTTTAAGAAAAATCTCAAATTTTTTTTTGTTTTGTTTGGAAGTTTTCATTCATTTTATTTAAATTTAAAGCTATCACTATTGACCTTAAAAGACATGGAGACATTCAAGGCCTCGATTTGATACAAACAATTTTATTTTTCTTGAAAATTAGAAAAAAGTAGAAGTTATACAGAAATGATAAATTGTTTTTTTTACAGCGCCAAACCATAAAAAACTTGACAGCTATTCAATTTCAGTTCAAAACTTTTTGTTGTTGAAAATTTTTTGTGGAGGCAAAAAAATTAACAACTCGTCAAAGTATAAATTTAATTTCCTTGTTTTTCCAAATGTCATCGCCCACACGCAATATAATTACGAAGTGATATATTTTGCGTCTGGAATTGTGTTAAAAGAAATAGCCCGTTTCAATTCAATTCTGAATGATTCGAAATGCCACTTCAATAGGACGAACTCTATCGCGCTGTCAGTATATCAAATCAAATTATAATTGTGTAACTAGTCTGAAACCCAATCCATCATTATTTTATAACTAATAAGAGATTATTTTTTTTATCTGTTATCCATTTTCGCAGAAAAAATACAGAATATTTGTTCTCGGGTTGTTTTTTTTTATCAAGACCAATTTAAATTTTCCAACGAGCCGTTTTTGACGAGATCTTATTATATCCTCTGAAAGGTGCTTTGTGATGCCTTGAGCTCAAATTAAAAAAAAATTTCACCTGCAACCATTTTTCGTATTATCGAACATCACTTCATAAACGTTAAAGGGCAGTCGTTCCATTCAAGGCAACGCCCTGATACGAGCAGTCTTGTTGGGTTTTAAGACTCGTTGTCGTCGTTTTTAACACCGGAAGTCGAGCGGTATTCAGTTGACTATATATTCAATTCTCAAAAATTCTTTTTCTACTTTGGAATTTCGAAAACAAAATGCTCAACTTGTGCCCATAGATTATTTATTACAATTATGGTTATGAGGTTGCGAACTTCTGAAAATTTAGCTTGTTCTAAATTTTATAAATGTTTCTGTCAATGTGATTAACACTGGCACAATTGACGCAAATTTATAAGGATTATGCATCACTCATTTTACGTCGAGAGCGCCAACTTTAATATTGTTCCGAAATTTGAAGAAATTGACGGAATGTTTGTACTCGGGTTGTTTTTGTCTTCAGACAAAATTCGAATTTTTAACTAGCCATTTTCAACATTTTTAAAATCATCTGATAGGTTTTGCCCTTCTGAGCTTAAATTTTAAAAATATATATTTCACCTCGATCATTTTTTCATAAATTTTTGGGAGTTTAAAGGTTGCAATTTTGACCTATTTGGGATAATTAATTCGCAATCAATTGTATAAATCGGGCAATAAGTTTTGATTACATTGTCGTTTATTTTTTTGTTCGTCTCGATCGGGTTTCTTCAATCGGGTCGAAAAAACTGTCCAATTTCTTCCTCCAAGTCTCTACAAGTTACATCAGTGTTAGTTCTTCTATAAATTTAGTTTCTTGCAAACAGGCGATTAGTCAAGGTTTGAAGGATTGTTCTACACAAACATTGTAATAGGCGTTTTTGGTTTTACTTTTTAAATCTAAAGCCATAAACAACCATATTTCTTGTTTTTGACGGAACACTTTAAAACTTGCGCATGATAAAATTAATGTTTAAGACTGTAAATGACATCAAACTGCAATTTTGTGATGCAGTTTCTTCAACCTTTGATAGCCTTAACTTATGTTTTTTTTCCATTTTTTGTTTGTCATAGCAGTAAAAAACGGAAAAGAATAATAAGGGCCAACGAAACTTGTGAATCAAAAAATTGTTTTGAATCAGTTAGGGCGTTTTTCTTGTTTTATTGAGGATTTTTTCCACCTAGGTTCAAATCAAGCTGTCACAAATATTCTTTATTTTTTGCTTTTGAGAAATTTAGTTTGAAATTTATGCTATATGATACATTTCAAAATTGTTATGCTAGTCGAACTTTATACTGTTTTCACATTGAGGCAATTAAATTTCTGCAGTTTTGATTCTAATTGAGTACAAAGGAACAAACTATAGTCCATGGTTCAAAGCGATGATTTTTTTATGTCCTTGAAATGAGAAGATTGGATAGAACTTTTGCATTGTCCAGATTTTTCTATCCTGTAGGTTGCGAATTAATTCGGCTCACACAGAAAGCTAATTTTATTAGTAGTATATTTCCAGAGGCAAAAATTATCAGTTTTGAAACCTTCTGTATATCTGTAAGTGAGCGCGAAAAAGAAATGAAAAAATAATGAAAAAATTGAAATGTCAAATTTATCATTAAAAAAATATAGCAGAAACGTTAAAAGGAAATAAAATCATATAGGGTTTTGTTTTTCAAAGAGCAATGTTCATCTAAGTCGAAAAAAATATATAGTCATGTTATCAAGTTTTTGTTTTTTATAAACCACAAGTATAATCACTAAGTTTATTTTTGGTATGCTAGCGCAAACTAATTTTTCTGGTTTTTTTTTAAATCGGTCGGAATCAGGGAAGAAGCATCAAGTTTTTAAGATTAAATGTTTGGAAGATCTTGATAATAGCAGGTCCTGGTTTTCCTGGAATTTCGTTAAAAATTTGAATGTGGCTATTAAGGTCTAAAGTTCTGGTCATTTTCCCAATTTCAGTTATAATTTATCGTATATTCAACTCATTGCCTTTCTTTAAAAAAAAAACGAAAACGACATTGTTTTTAATCATAGTTTTGGACTAATGGCAGTAGTTTCATTCTTTGGGTTTTTTCACACAAAACTTTGCTCCAAACTAACAGCTTTCAATTTTTCAACCAGATGAAGAAAATGAGATCATTATTTTCA